CCGACGGGTACACAAGGTGAGCCCTCAGCAACCCCACGGCTATCGGAGTACCCCCTCCGTTAGTCGGCAGTCCAGGGCACTGTGTGTCAGAGTTTATCGCAACGTTATTTTGCGACCCCCATTCCACCACAAGTCTCTTTCCGAAAATCGAGCACAGCACCGCACCAGTGGTTGTTGTCGATGTGCAACAGTATCAAAACTATCTTGTTGTTTCTGCAAACGAATTGCCGGCTTTGATAGCCGCAAACTGCTGCTCTCTGAGTTGGAAACGCAGGAAGAGAGGATTGACGACTTCAACACCAGGATATTCACGATGTAGCAGCGCGATCCCGTGCCCATACAATTGTCATCAAGCCATGAGCTCCCACAAAATGTCAATAGGGCTCGATACGGTACACTGCTAAACGATGCCACGCGCCCGCCTCGAAGCAACAGCTTCTTGATTGCATTTTAAATGCTCTCTTGGTTCGGTAGTAACTCCATTAGAAAGTTCCTCTGGAATCGTGAAGCGCTTCATACAGGTGCTTACGGCCCAATTCATAGCATCCTCTGTTTGTGCTAGAAACTCCATGCACGTGTGCCACTGATCCATTGCCTTGATGTCTTTAAGCATGAAGATTCCAAAACGTGACACACACACGCCAACGCTGTCGTCTTCACAGTCAACTGCAAAAGTCTTCCGGAACCTCCTGATTGCCGTGTGTACCTTTTCCACGAACTCGCGAGAGAAGACAAACCGAGTGTCAGTAGTGCACTTGTCGTCGGTGTAGATACCAGCGATCGCCGTTCTGGACTTTGGAGCTTCCCGGATAGTGAGCATGGGTAGTGTCTGTTGCGCAGCTTATAGTCATTGTCCAGAAACTTTACGATGCTCCGTACACTTGGAACCGGCACTAATGTCCCTTGCACCAGTCGTGACGCAGTTTCCTTATCGCGGGCGACTCGCTGTCGCTTCTCAGCCTTCCCTTGCTTCTTTCTCAGCTTTGGGCGCCCTCTGCTTTTGGTGCTCTTAGATACGACGAAGAATCCAGATGAGTTAGACGAACTGCTGGGATGATCCCGCTTGGTTGTGCTCGGTTTCCCACCATGCGATTCTCCATGAATGGCGCCCGCCCACTTGCCATTCCTGTAACTGGAGGTACCCAGCACTTCCTGCTCAGTGACTGGAGGTACAGTAACACTACCTGATCGGTGTCTGGATGTGTTTGGGTTTCCTTAGTAATCGCTGCACTCTGCGTCGAAGGTTGCTCGTCTGAGGACGCATCACTATGGTCATATTTTGAACGCACCGTAGAGAAGGAGGCTCTTGTGATTGTATCACCACGTGCAGTATCGTCGTTATCGAACGAAAACGTCAACGAAAGCAACTGCGGCAGCGGTTCAATGTCTACGCGTTCGACGAACGGAGCTACTCCATCCTTGACCACCCCCTCAAATTTCTCCAGTGCTTCCATCATCTCTCCAAAAACGCGAGTTCCATTTCTACTCATGGTATCGGCAATACTCGTTCCGCGTTCGAGAGCGTTGTTGTATTTTGTGGTTCCGTTCAGCACTCGATGATGTCTAGCTGTCATTGCAGAATTGCGGATTTAAAAAGCCTTACACGCAAAGTTCGTGTCTGGAAATATCTTCTTCAGGGACTGGTTGATTTAATTTGCACGCCAACTGCCACCGAGACGCGATTTTGAATAGCAGTCTTGTGGCCCAAGTAGAAACTCACCAGCACGACTCGCCGCACGTTCCTTGGTCTCGCGGTTACGCTGTACTACTGATGTTGACGTGCGCTGGCGGAAGATCTGGTGTGTTTGCGTTTGATACTGCGCAATGTAAACATTGAAATCACCCCAACTGTCGTGCCATCGACTGGGGGTGGCGTCCAAGTGGACGACGGGACATGCAACTCGGGTTCACTGTCACACATAACTGCATGGAGAACGGAACACAAAATCAAGTTAGTCGGTTATCCATGGTTGTACTGTATATGCTTTTCTGGGGCAGTGACTTGAGCTTGGAAGGGAGATTTTCGAATGATAGGCTGAGAGTAGCCAGGATGGGTGAAAGGGGGGAGAGGGGGGGCGTCAATTTTCATAAATTTGGAGATCCCTAAATTTGCTGTCAGCGGTTTTTTTATCAGTGAAAATTACATGCGCATATAGTTTTGTTTCGTTTAGATACGTTTTTGCTCAGTACCTCTCAAAAAAGAAACACGAATAAAAAAAACTATTTTCAGTTTGTACCCAATTATTTAATTTTCCTTGGGTAACTTGTGAAAAATTGAAAAATAAATATATTGTTTAAACAGTCAAAATTAAAATTGAATAATAAATATCATTTTTGAACAGTCAAAATTAAAATTGATTTGTTTAAATTAAATGTTTATATTTTTAAAGAAATAAGTATTTTAAAATGCTTATTCATTATTTTAAAAAATGAAATTAAGAAGAAGACCCATTTTACGGATTTCTAGTTTTTGGGTATCTAGGGTACCTATTTACTTTTGGTGTCAAGGTACCTAAAAATCACTTTTGGGAACCCATAAATTCACATTAGGGTCCTTTTTAGGCCGACAACTTACTAGTAAATGGGAATGGAAAAAAATTTCGAGAGATCTGATTGGCCGGGATGGCATTCAAACGAAAAAAGCCATTAAAAATTAATGGGGCTTTTTCGTCTGAATGCCATCCAACGGCGGAAGTTCTATACAAGTTCGTTGTTGTTCGAGTAATAAAGTACTGATGATTTGCTTTTGTAGGGTCACAGTGATTTGAGCTACTCGGATCGGTACTTCCAAATCAAAGCTTCATCGATTAAACATCGTGTTCCTTCCACGCTAATTCTTGCCTTCTCTTTTTTCTTTCGTTGATACTTTTCCCCGGCAGAAGACATCCATGCAGGATAGACAACAAAGCATGCCTTGCAACGTATTGGGGCTGAATGCCTATCTACATGCCCTCCTCTTCGTCTTCTTCTAGAAAGCCGCGCGAAGGCATGTAGCCGCGGGGACTCTTGGCAGCAGCACGCTCTGCTGGGTGTAGCATTCGAGATCTCTCATCTTCCAAATCATATTCATCGTCCATTGTCTGGTCCTCAAGCGGCATGTACTCAGCCAAAATGCTGCGAACTTGGTCGCGCATGTGACGCTGAGTACGGCGATAGTAGACAAAGCCACCTGCAGCCACAATACCCACGAATGCGAGCAGCACAACCACGAGCGACGTGAAGGAATAGCCGCCGTTGCCCGTAATGGCAGCAGCATTCGCGAGACTTCCCACCTTAACGCAGTCCAAAAGGCCCACTGATGACTGACTAGCACACGAGCAAACCTCGGGAGGGTCGTGAACGCCGTAGCCAGCACATACCATACCCAAAATGCTAGTGGGGTCCACGCGACCACGAGCGTGCACTCCGTCCACGTACAACGCTGGTAGCCGCAGAAGCTGAAGTGCTGTCTGCTCCTTCAGCTCCTCCTCAAGCAGTGGGTTTACTTCATCCACATTGACGCCATAGGGTTGCATACACTCTTCGACTGCCTTAATGTCGATGTTCAGCTTCTTCATAACCTTCTCAGCGCACGATCGCTCCCGGAACATGTTTTCGTCCTGTCCACAAGCTTCTCCGGAAGCTTTCACGTACTTCCACCACTTCAGACCAACACCTGGGTCCGTCTCGCTCTCCAATTTCCAAATGCACTTACGTCGCAGGTTCTCCAGCACCACATCAGCTCCCGATGCGCCAGTCGAGCGGTCGTGGAAAGGTGAAGGGTCCAGGAGACAGTAGCGACCGTTGTTCAGGCACATATTACCGCAAGCTGATGTACCGGGGTCGCTATTGTCGTGACAACCGACCTTAGTGCCATTATAGGACACGAAATGCGGCGTGAAGAAGGCGCGGTCGGCCAAAGCGGTGACCATCTCCTCCAGATTGGCCAGCGTCGACAACGATTGGTCGTCCCAAGCGCTCTGCCACAGAGTCCACTCCACACGGCCATCAGGAGAGGGAATACCCCAGTCAAACTTGACCATTACGTTGCTGACTCCCTTGCTCTGCGCGATCTCACGCTTAATAGCGTCACCGTCACTCTTACGGATCAACATGCTAGGGATAGAGATGTCTCCACCCGACTCGTCGTCTGCCATGAAGGGAAGAACCGTCTCGCAAAAGTCGTCTCCCGTCTCGCGAAGACACTCCACGTCGGTACACAGACACTTGTTGTCTGCGATGAGCACGGCACGAGCGCCGGCGTGCTGAGCGCGGCGCACCTTCTCCACGAAGTGACAGTCTCCACGGTCGAGCATGAGCGCGAAAGGCGGCTCCCAGCCGTCGTTCTTGATCTCCTCGCAGCCAGACTCGCTAGTGTACACCAGTTGAGTCTGTAGCGAGCCCATTGAGTACGACGGGTAGCCAAACAGTGCCTCCTTATGCGCGTATCCGTCCTTCTTCATAAGTTTCTCGGGCAGCACAATCTGCAGCTTCGTGTGATCACTCTAAGAACGGGAGAAACAGCATTGAGAACGTTAGATACAACAGGGTTCAAAGGATGACACAGCGCTGGGTGGGGGCTGGCCGCACCTCAGTCGACGGCCATTCGTCCACGTCCATGGCGCGCGCGTGCACGGCAGCAGGCGTGGCGAGCGCCGCGATGAGCAGCACGATCCTCGACACGTGCATCTTGATCCTTCGGATTTCCTGTTCCGCCTCAAGTCTAAAGTCGAGTGATGTTGGCAGCACAGGGAAAAGCTTCTTCAGGTTGAAAGACGTCGCCCTGCCTCCGTATTCTCTGAATCTGCACCGTAATGGGAGGGATGACCTGAATCTCAGACTCCCAACCCTAACTCCCTGGAAAATCCTGTCTGATCCGACCAATCAGAGCTCGTTAAAATTGCTTCGACCATCACTCCTGCTCTCAGTTGAAGTGCTGTTGAATGCTTTGCAGCAGTTCCCGACTTCGACGCAGGTGCGCAGTGCCGCTGGCGCACGCCCGCACCAGGTGACACCTGCAGCACCGTACGAGGGTCATGCCGTGGAAAAGGATGACTAGCTGGCAATGGCAAAGATCATCGTCTACCCGTTTTGCAGCGACGGAGGCTTGTTTTGCGGTAGATTTCTCCCGCTTACGCTATTACTGAAGTACGCAAAATGACGTTGTGCCTGCGAGGAGTGGTGCCCGGGCAGTATACATGTATGGAACTATTCTTATCGGGCTCCAAGGATTACTGCTGCAATGCGAGAAGGTATAGCTTGGTTTGATGCTTCATCTGATTGAGTAGCGTCACATGGCCTGCATTCGCTGCTTGATCTCCGGACTTGGTCTGCACGAGCTGCTTCTCCAGTTCCTCCAACTGAGTCTTGGTGCCTTCCGCCATGAGATCGCTCAGAGCCAACTGGAAGAAACGTACTTCGACGATCAGCTGCAAAGTCCACACACACACACACACACACACACACACACACGAATGTCAATATGGAAGATTTGTGAAAAGACTTTAACCAATACTTACATGACAAAGCTTCCACCCATCCAGACTTGAACTGCTATCCTCTAGTCTGCGTACCGAGGTCTGGAGAAAATCAGCCAATGCTGCAGTTAGTGGGTCTGTCACGCTGCGTATGTAGTCCCAGCATTGAGGGTATTCTCCAACGCTCATTTCGACTTCACTGCGAAGTGTGATCAGCTGAAGAAGCACGGTGAATACGTATTGGCGAGGATCTGAAGGCATAGACACAGGATTGGATACAAGCACCGGGGATCCAACGCTACCAGTGCGGCTAGTGCGAGAGTTGTGTCTGCTGCTGTTGCTATTATGAGACTGGAATGGTTCTTCCGCCGCTCCTGCACGCAGGATTTTCTGAAGTGGTTCTGCATGTGCGGACGAGTACATGTCCATACACTTAATCTCGACATTTTGCACCACATTGGCGAGATCTCGAGTACCAGAAGTAGCTGCACGGCCGTGCTCTAGCATGTTATTGTAGGCGTCCTCATCAATGTTGCCATGCTTAAGCTGCGCCATCCATCCGTCGACAATGCGCAGACATTTTTCGCGCAATTCGACGCAGTTCGCGACAATGGCAAGCAAGATACACACTCGTGCGCCATTCCAGCTGTGGTTGACCCCACCAATAGTGGAGGATTCCGGCAGAACTGGTGGAGTGATCTCCGCAACAAATGCGTCCACCACTTTGTCAAGAAAGTCGGACAACATGTCGCGCAGATGCTTCTCCAGAGCTTGAACAAGGTTTGTTCTGAATTGAAAATCCACGTCAGTATCTGCAGATACTGCCGTAGTTTCTCCACTTTTACGAGCACTGTTGCGGTCGACGACATCCAATACATCCAGTAGTGCTTCACCAACGTTCTTCCAAATACCCTTCCAGCGCTGTAAGACGTCGGTTGCACAAGTGGTGAAGACCGACGGCCGATGCAGTAGAATCTTGGACTCGGAGGATACCCTAGATGTATTTCTGATGACGTCAAACGCTTGTCGAGCCTCAACGATCACGCGCTGTACTTTTGTTCGCGGTCCCGTCATTACCGTTGGAGTGAGAGCGGAAGAGTTTGGGGTTCCAAGGGTGATTTCACTCGAAAATGATGGAAGTACCGTCACGACCGGTTCAAAATACTCAGCAAGCAACCCTGATTGCGCGGCTTGGCATTCTTGCTCCAGATATCCCAGCGTAATGGTGGTTCTGAATTTATCGCAGAAATTCTCGTTGAGTTGCTCAATGTTTGCATTGAGTGTTGCAGCGTTGGGGCACTTTTTAAGACATCGGAATTGACGGAAGGCTTCGTTCAGTAGCTTGAGGCGCAGTGCCGAGGGAGGTGACGCATGACGCTCCAGTAAACCAGTGCACTTGGATAATATACTCCACGCTTGTTGCTGGACGCGCTCGGCCTCGACGGAAGTTATGGCATTACTGGTTGCAGCCGCACTACCTGCTGGAGTCTTGAACAATTCGCAAATAAAGCCCCACAATCCGTTACGAAAGCGAGCTGCGATGGCGACGCATTCTTTCATGACCTCCTCACTGGTAATCGGGCTGGAATCTTCGAATTCTGTCAGCTTGCGCTCCAGGTACTCGAACTGCTTGATGAGGCAGGTAAGTATGGGTTTCTCCACTAGTCCCAGTGCAGTTAACACGTCGATAGCGCGCTTCTAAACCATACAAAATATACAAGAACACATCAATTAGAGACTGTGACGTTGAAATTGACTGGATACCACCGCAACGCACTTGATCTGAGACCGACGCCGACATATCCTCCAGTTTTCGGAGCAGTTCTGCGTTGGCTGTAGCTGCGATTTCATGGCCGGCTGTAACTACACGCTTCAGTGGTGCAGCAAGGTTCGCAATCTTGCCGCTCTGATGTTTCAGCCTCGCGTAGTCCACCGCCAGTGTTTCGTAGTCTTGAATGCGCAGACTGGCCTTCATCTTGCTCGTCAGCTCCAGAATGGGACGTAAACGCGCTAGCACCGCCAGTGTGTGGCGAATACGCCGCTGTTCCCTAGCACGCTGCAGCATCACTGCTAGTGAGGCATCCGTCACACGACTCAGGTTTTGCATGTCCCCCACTAACGCTTCGGTCTCTTGTTGGTGCGCACCAACATCTGCGGCCAATGTGCGCACGGCCTCATGGCAGCTCAGATACTGGTCGAAGTGCGCGCTCACTAGGGCCTTAAGTTGCTCCGTTTTGTCGGACGTGGTCTTGCGCAGCACCTGCAGCTCCGTCTGTAGCTCAGAGAAGCTCGTGCTCTAGTTGGGATTGGCACATTGGTTAGTTTGCATGCGAGACGGAGCAACACAGAGTGTAGACAGCCCCCACCGCGTGTGTGACGGCCAGATATTGCGCCGCATTAAAGAGTGGAGAGGAAAGATCGATCTCGGACTGGTTGCTTCTTGCCACGGTGGAGGCAGTCGCACGCGTCTTGGCTGGAGAATCTGCGCTGGGCGCCATGCTTGGTTAATGCGACGCTTCGATCTTTGTACAGGTTTGTCGTTGTAATTTTTAGTCGTTGACTATTTCAAGTCTTATTTTCGAGGGTATCATAAAAAGTCTTCTTGTTTATTTTAAAAATATGAAACCCCCTTTAAAATAAGACTCAGCGCATTCCATCTTTAAATTTAATTTTTTTGTACTATTAATTAGTTGCCAGATAAACTCTTGCAAAAATATCTTTCCTACTCTGTATTAAAGTCGCAAGTTTGGGCTTAGGGATGCATAAGCTGGCCCAAACTTGCGACTTTAGAAAGCAAACAACTTACATACATATGCATGTAAATATTTAGCTGCTAGAAGATCGTTGTTAATTTCGGTACAGTATCCACGGAACGCGAGAGTTGCATGTCAATGGATCTTTTCATTAGGTTTCGCGTGTGTGTAAACAGAGCCAATCAGACTAAAAATTAATGTCTATAGGATATGAGCGGCGGTGCGGAGCGCTGGAGTTACTGGAAGGCATCGCGAGGAAGGAGAGAAAGCACGTCGATGATCTCTTGTTTGTAGTCAGGAGTCCTGACTACAAACAAGAGACTCAGGAGAGCAACGATTCGTAGCTCTTCATGATCCATTCAGTCACTTCCAGCATTGTTGAACCTGTCCCGATACAGTACACTACAGGTTGCCCATCCTCCTTTTATCGTTTTGAGGAGGGGCTGGGCTGGCTACCGTAGCCGCTACTGTAGTACTCGCCAGCACAGGCATTCAGATGGATGTCGATCATTGCAGAGCGGCTTGCCCGCTGACTCAGCGGCTGAGGCGTGGCAACTTGCAGCAAATACTCGCGAAACTTTGCCTTACGAAGGTGGAGCACTCCCAGCTCCAAGAGCTCCACATCGCGAGCAGCGCAGCCACCTGGGCCTGTCCGTACTCAATCCCAGTGATCATGGTTGGCACGTACCGCGGTTTGCCGCCACGTTTTCGTCGGCACCGGACCGGTTCTGCTTCGCTCGGATGGATTCACCTCATGGCTCAGGCAGACGCGGCTGCCGCCTGCGTTTCCTCACTTGCTCGTTGTCGCCGGGCATCTTGTGTTCAATTGCGGCCATTCGATCGGGCGAGACGCCGGCGGCTGCGGACCAGTAGGCCGACTCCTTGCAACCTGCACTCTTGTACATATCCTAGCACCAAACAAGATGCGTGTCTAGACTCTAAAGCCGATGGATGCCATCAGTAGAGGTTGCAGTTTTGACGCCGCGAAAAAAAAGAAGCAGTAAACCCTCTGGCTTGAGCCGAGCACGCGAAGCAGAAGGACAATGGCGTGCTGCGGCCGATTGTCTTTCGGGTATTAGCAAACGAGGAATACGATAAGGACCATGCACTCCGCCACCACTGTTCTTCATTGCCATTACGTTGGAGTGATGAAGTCGCCTGGAATCACCCCTGCAAGCAAATTGGTTGAAGCGACTTGAGCTGCTCGAACGCACCCTCGACCATAGTCAACTCTAGTCAAAATGCCACGCCACAATTGTCCCAAAACGTTACACGTGACAAAAAAATAGGTCTCTAAAGTCAGGTCATTAATCTACAAGCGGGTCTATATAAGTCCTCGGTATTATGACTCTTAATGGTACGGACTACCATCTCCGGCGCCCCCTCGCTTCCGCTGGTGAGACACTTTTTCAAGCTGCCCAGAAAGCGGCGGAGAGCCGTGCGCGTTTTCCGGCCGCGTGGGCTCCCAGGAACAATGGTGCCATTTACAGTCTTGCGAGGACGAGTAAAACGACGAAGGGCAGGTCGAGGGAAACACGGAGAGTGGGCGGCTTCAGTGAACGGAATCGTTCGTTGGCGATAGTTGTAGCGCAGTAGTTAATACACACAGAGAACAGGTGCAGGCCGGATTTGCTTTTGGAGCTTCCAGCACGACCACAGCAACACACACACACAGACTGTCACAGCCTCGAGCCTTCATGACTCAACCCATGGATCACCTCTTGACCCGAAAACCCCAAATTCCTCCCTCTTCTTCCGCATCAACGCCCGCCGCGTCCTCGTCGTCGTCGTCGTCATCGTCGCTGGCGTCTACCGCGTCGAGTAGCGGCAGCCCGTGCTTCGTGTTCGAGTCTCACCCCGAGGACCCCTCCCCCGTGGACGACGACATGGACAGCTGCAAGTTCGAGCTGAAGCTCGGTAGCGAGATGCACATCCCGGTGACCAAGACGGCGGCGGACGTGCGCGCGAGCCCCATGGGCGGAAACGACTACGTGTACGAGAAGCAGGCGCCGTCGTCGATGACGAGCAACAGCAGGTTCCCGACGACGGGCGCGATCGAGGCCAAGATTAAGACTCTGGCCTCTTATTTAAAGTCGGTATCGGCCGGCATTCGACGTCGCAGCATCGCCTTCGACCGCGCACGCCTCACCCAGGCGTACTACCGGAGGTCGGTGCCGACCCCTGCAGCCATGCGCACCAAGCTCAATGTTATTGTATCCAGACATAGCAGTGGAGAGCACCAAACGACGCTCTCTTGGGACGATATTGATGAGGAGGAATGCCTGAGCTTTGGTGATTTGAACGAGGTAATGACCGCCACCCCTACATCCAGGAAACGTGGCCACCCGAGCGAGATCTTCTGCGAAGCTGAAATCCGTCAAATCTGCATTCGCTGCGAGGTTCTGGACCAATACATTGACCAGGTTGTTCACATCATCAAGTCGTCGTTCGGTACACCAGAGCTGGACGTGATTGCTCTGGAAAAGTTCATGCCAGGCAACGTCGTCGTGTTCGTGGGCACTCTGATCTTCGAGAGCATCGACTGTGGAGAGGAATACGTGGATCTCAGCGTTCTGCCAAGCTTTTTGCGGCATATCCAGGAACGCTACGACGGCAACATGCCGTTCCACAATGCAACCCACGCCGCAGACGTGATGCACACGCTCTTTATGCTGCTGTGGAACTCGAGTCTTGGGGAGAAGATTTCCCACCACAACCAGGTCGGTGCTCTCCTAGCGGCGGTGATGCATGACGTGGAACACGTTGGCTTGACCAACGATTTTCTAATTAAGACCAGCCACCCCATCGCGCTGAAATACCCCTCCAAGGCTCCGATGGAGTCCAAGCACATGGATTTGGCCTTAAAGGCAGTGGTGGACCCCAAGTTTGACATCCTATCCAAGATGACTTTGGTCCACAAGGAGCAAGTACTCGAGGTTGTACGCGAGACGATTTCGGCGACAGCTCTTATTTATCAGCCTGAGCTGCTCGCTGAGATCAATAGCACGACGCCCGAGGAGTGGAAGATGCTCGAGGAGGACGCGGTATTGCCGCAGAGTCTGCAGGTTCGCGCTCTGCGTATTGCCATGCACGTGAGCGACATCAGCCAGACAATGAAGCCGTTCGCGAACCACCAGAAGTGGGTATTCCGCCTCAACGACGAGCACTACAAACAGGGCGAGCTGGACGCCCGCGAGCACCGAGGGGTAAGCCCATCGTTTTGCTTCCGCGACCAGTGGACGTATGAGGGTTTCCTGTGCAGCCAGGTGTGCTTCCTGAGGAAGATGGCACTGCCAGCCGTGGTGACACTCAACAACATCCCATGGCTGGACGTGAATGAGCTCGTGAACGGGATCGAGAAGAACATCGCCGAGTGGGAGCAGCAGGCTGCCTCCTCCCACTAGCATGTATTATCGGATATGTTTGCATGTTGGAGTATGAAGGCGTTTGTTGTAGAACTATTGCACATTGCAGAATAAAATTGAACGCTACACTTCCACAACCACCTGCATTTTGCTCCGTTTGCCACTCTTGATGAGGAAGCGCGTGAATTCATGGAGAGCGTTTCCTTCCGTCAACGTAAAGTCCTCCATCGAAGTTGCCTTGAACGTTTCGATGGCGAATTCAACGACCGACGATTTTCTCACAGCCGGAAGTCAGTCTGTGTCCAGTGCAGCTGCTTTGAGACATGCTCCCGGCTGAGCTTGTTGCTTGCCTCTCGCTTTGCTCGTTCACACCAAAAAAGGCAACTTGCCCATGCACGTGTAGCCATCTTGCCCGCAAGCTACAGACACCAGAATTGTGTGGCTTACATACTTCACAATCCATACACAATATGACACGATACTCATCGAGCTCACAATCGCGTGTTGCTTGCTCAATCACCAAATCAACCGGCACCCACAACTTCGACCTCCCTGATCGCAATGCTCGCTCACCGCTTGACCAAGCTCACCCGCTGCGTAGCTGCCCCGGTACGTGCATCCACAATACCTGCCCGTGTGTTTCGTAGCTCTTGCCGTCTTTGCATTGCTCTGTTGGCACATGAGAGAGCTAGTGGTTGTTTTGAATATGACAGAACACCATCGAACTAACTCGTCGTCGTGGCGCTTTCTCGTTCAGCATCACGGACGCGCTCTCTCTGTGTTAGACCGCTTCACATCCTCGCAGCCCGAGACTGCGAGCGACATCTGGTGCTCTGTGGGTGCTGTGTGTTTTGACGTCGACAGCACGGTGTGCGAGGACGAGGGCATTGACGTGCTGGCTGAGCACTGCGGTGCTGGCCAAGCTGTCAAGGAGTGGACCACCAAGTACGTTAGTAAGGATGCAATAACATTCAAGTGATAGTACTCACTCTTTTTGTATGCTGCAGGGCCATGAACGGAAACGTCAAGTTCGAAGACGCGCTTGCTGCCCGGTTGGACATTATTAAACCGTCAAGGCAAGACATCCAGGACTGCTTGAAGCAGCACCCGCCTAAGTTCACACCAGGTATAAGATGCGAAGAATTAGGTGGCCTATCCGTGAAGCTGACGACTGTATTGGTTCGAATTGACTAAGGTATCAAGAAGCTCATGGCGACTCTGCAGGACAAGGGCATTGCCGTGTTCCTCGTGTCGGGTGGTTTTCGCCTTATGATTGAACCTGTTGCTGAGGAAGTTGGCATTCCTCTGTCCAGCATTTACGCCAACACCATCTTCTTCGATGACGATGGCAACTACAGCGGGTTTGATGATGCTGAGCTCACGTCACGCGACGGTGGCAAGGCCAAGGCCATTGAAGTGTACGTTACCGTCTAAACTACCTGCAATCTATTCCCTATCGCTGACGTTGTGCAATGTCTACCACCTCCAGTATTAAGCGGATTCACGGCTTCGAGAAGATCGCAATGGTTGGCGACGGTGTCACGGACCTCCAAGCCCGTCCGCCTGCCGACCTGTTCGTCGGCTTCGGAGGCATCGTCACCCGTGACGTCGTAAAAGAGGGCGCTGACCTTTTCGTTACGGACTTCAGCCACCTCACCAAGTTGCTGCAGTAGACAGATGAGGCTGGACTGAATTGGTGCAACAAGGTCCTGTTATAGCCAACCAGCACGGGCATTTGTTGCATGCAATTCAAGACTGTAAACATGAACAAGTTCCGCATTGTGTGCGCTGTTTGTGCAGTCAAAAAAGCAAACGCCTTTGTTTGTCTAAAAGCTAGTCATGGTGTATACATTAGTCTTCCATCTCATTGTCCCCGGCGTCCTCCGTGTTGCTCTTCTTGAGGTCGGCGGGCGTTTTGCGCAGCGCCTTCACCCGGCGGCTCTGCATCGAGTAAATATCCTGGTGATCCATGTGAATACGGCCCAGTTTGTCGCCCGTGAGCTCGTCGCGAGAGATGTTCTTAATCTTCTTGGGTGCCAGACCCTTGGGCTTCTTGGTAGCGACCTTCATCAAGTCAGCCGACGCGAACTTATTGCGACGGAACTCCAGATCGAAGCGCGGGCCCATCTCGTCCAGTTCCACGCGAGGGTGGGACTCGTCGCCCTTCTTAAAGTCGACCGAGTACGAGCGGAAGAAGACCTTCTCCTTCCAAGCCGTGCACACAATAACGTGGTCCAGACCCTTGACGTTTACGCTCTGCACAATAGTGCCACGAAACGTGTCCAACAGGATGTTTTTGAGCTTCATGAAGGCCTCAACGCTCTCCCATTGGTCTCCAGTAAACACAAAGCTGGGCTTGGAGCCCGGAGCTTTCTTGCTCTTGCATTTGAAAGCACTGATGGACTTAAAGTTGGAGAACCCGAACTCCATGACGTCCAGGATGTGGCCGTCGAAGGTTCGACCGAACACGAGATTGTTCGGACGCTTCTTAGTGCTGCTGCCAATGAGGAAAAGACTGGCGTCGTTCTTCTGTGTAAGGAACTCCACCTTGTTCTCGTCATCGAAGACGTGAATGTCGTTCTTCTTGCCCATAAACTTGGCAAATGGAGCCTTGATCATGCGCAAGTCGCGCAGCAGTTCATTCACCTCCTCGCTGGTCTTGTTGCCACGCATCACTAGCAGATTCTTGGTGTTTTCTACGAGCTTAGGCTCCTTAGCCTTGATGGCACGCTGCACATGAGCCTTGACACGCTTGGGCTTGGCCACACTCGTCACCTTACGGCTCTGCTTAGCCGCCTGCTTTGACACCTTCTTGTTGGCACGCAGCGCCTGCTTACCTGCCGTGTTCTTGATGATCTTGCCGCCGCCTGCCATTGCTACCTGCCCTGCACCTGACGTCGACTGGTTATGCTGTGTGGGTCAATTGTCCAGCAGCCATTCCAGGATGTGATTGGTCACTTTTGATTGGTGGTGGCGCTGAATAGTTATTAACTGAAATGAAACATACTTGTTTCAGTTAAGAAAACGGTTTAATGCTCTTTCGTCATTTTGCGATTTTGCTTGGAGCAAGCCGACAACTTCATGGCATACTGCATTGATAGCATTCTTTATGTGCTTAGGAATTTTGCTTTCAATTACTTTGTTTTCACAGAGTCACTTCTTTCCAGGTTTAGAAGACAGCACTTCCGAAATATGGTTAACATAGTTCCGAAATATGGTTAACATAGTTCAGAAGCAAATTTACTCACGATCAACTAGCTCCGATGATGTGGTAAAAGTGGTAAACGTCCGAGGAAAACAAAAGCGAAAGACGAAATATATCGTGGCCTAAAGGATTAACCTCCACAGCATAGTGCTACGTGGTAACTATGTAGTATGCTCGTATGTGTAGCAACATTTATTTTTTTATTCCAACCTTTTTTTTTTAAGAGAAGCACATGACACAGAACCACTTGGCAACATCGCATCTGCTTTTCTTTCCAGGATCTTCACCCACATCAATTGCAACTGTTTTCTTTCTTTACTACAACTGTATCTAGCGCTCCAGTGCCAACAGTATTTAGTGCTGTCACTGCTCACATTTTGGATGCTAGCGTCAAAGAAGGCGCCCAAAAGTCTCTTTTACGGCTTCGAAGCTGGAAGGGGTGTCACGTTTAAATTCCATCAGTAACTGCTGGATTTTATTTTAACCGTTATCACGACTTCCCTCCCCTTTTGATACGCTATTTCACCAACGAGGGAACAAATCAACCAGCAAGACAAGCAAAGAGAGCAGTACGATGGCGAAGAATTTGGGCTTCGCGCGCGGCGGCACCAGCTCCTGGGCCGATGACGATGACGTGGACTTCCAGCCTTTGCCCGCGACCCCCAAGATCGCTCCGTAAGTCTCTCCGCTCCTTGCATTAACACGCATCACTAACACGATAGCTTGCTGTCGACAGGACGGAGGCGCCACAGCCCATCGAAGAGGAGGAAATCCAACACCACGAGCAGCAGCGCGATGGTAAAAGCTTTGCCAGTGATTGCATCACCACCGCCAGGGATTGACATGCACTCTTTCCAAAAAAACTAGCGCCCCGAGGATACAACGACCGCTACGACGACCGTCGCGGTGGCCGTCGAGGAGGCCACGAAGAGCGCCGTGGAGGCTACGAAGAGCGTCGTCGCGATTCCCGCGACGAACGTCCGAAGAATCCCGTGCCGGACGTCGGTCCATGGAAGGTTAGACTAGTTTCGCTGCCTTGGATGTGGGTTGATGACAAAACTGACAATTATCGCCGTAATTTTGCAGCTTTTTGTGGGCAACTTGTCGTTCCGTCTGACGGAGGACGATCTGGCAGACTTTATTGGTCCACAGGGTATCAGGGACATCCGTTTTCCACGTGACCACGACAATCGTCTTAAAGGTTTCGCCTATGTGGAATTCGATGAGAGGGAGCAACTCGTGAGGGCGCTCGACCTGGATGGCCAAAAACTGGATGGTCGTCATGTCAAGATGGATGTGGCTCTAGATCGCGAGCGCAAACCACGTGACAATGGCTGGTATGACAAGCGCAGCGATCGCTCTAACGACCGTCGGTGAGTGTTTTTTGTGGGCATTATGTTGCTGTAATGATTACTGAATGGTGATCTACGATATAGTGAGAGGACTGAAGCTCCTCGGGAACGTCAGCGTCTGACTCTATTGCCTCGCTCTACTTCCTCTGAAAAGAAGAAGTCGGATGCTCACAAGCCCAGCATTTTCGGAGATGCCAAGCCCCGCGATGAGAGTGCTTATCTGGAGCGTAAGAAGGCGCTTGATCTTGAACGCAAGGCGAAGGCTAAGGAAGAGAAAGAGGCCAAGGCCAAGGCTAAGGCTGACGTGGAAGCCAAGGCGCTGGCTCGCAAGAACAGTCACGACGAAGGCCGTGGTGGTCGTGGACGCGGACGTGGCGACCGTCGTCCGACTGAAGGTGGTCGTGGTCGTGGAAAGGAGAATACTCCGGCACGGAAGTCGGATCCCCGTCCGAAGCGTACGGAGCCTCCTACGACCAAGATCTCGGCTCCGGCTCCTGCCAAGACGGCCAATGTGTTTGACCTCCTGAACGATTCGGACTCGGATTCGGATTAGAGTTTTGGGATTGCGGAACGTTGGTCTCCCTTTTGTGCTGATGCAGGGGCATGCTCTACATCTAGTCGGCTGCAGGTAGTCAATAGTCAAGCGAAACTAAAAGTTCTCGCTACGTCGCATCAGTTTTCTCGATCGCTGCGTATAACTTAGTGTCCTTCTGTCGACTTTTAGTTAATGCAAGACACTATAGTTCAACCAACAACTGTCTCTATTAGAGCATGAACTCCTGGTACATTTGGTTGTCCGTTTCCTCGTGGAAAACGTAAGCCAATTGGTTCAGGAACGTCTGGAAGCGTTCATGGTCTTCTTCAGGCACCTGGAAACCCACTAGTACTCGACCGACATCAGCGCCGTGGTTACGGTAGTGGAATAGACTGATGTTCCACGAGCTCTGCAGCGCCTCCAAGAACGTGGCCAGAGCGCGTGGACGGTCTGGGAACTCGAAGCGATACAGGAGTTCGTTTTGTACGTCACCACGTGCTCGACCGCCAGCCAAGTATCGTGTATGCACCTTGGCCAGCTCATTATCCGACAGATCGAGCACCTGGTAGGCACCACCACGTGCGAAACCTAACGGAGACTCCTCCTCTTGCAGTTCACGAATAGCAGCCGCTGCGTGGTCGGCACTGGGTGAGTGGAAGGACAGATGAATGCGAGCCTTCTGAGCGTTAGCGTACCGGTAGCTGAACTCGGTGATACGAACACCCACGGCGTCTAGTCGACGGTTAAGGCGCAAGAAGGCGCCCGGATTTTCATCAATCTCCACTGCAAGTAGTCTTTCGTGAGAATCAGCACGCTCGGACACGAAACGGAGTCGAGCGAAGTCGATATTGGCACCAGAAGTCACAGCGACAAATTGACAGCCCGAAAGTCCGCGTGTCTTGGCGTATTGCGTCATGCCGGCAATGGACAACACGCCTGCCGGCTCGAGAATCGCACGAGTGTCATTAAAACCAGCCTTAATAGCAGCACAGATCTCGTCCGTCGACACGGTCACCATCTCGTCCACATATTGTTGGCACACACGGAACGTCTCGGACCCCACTTTCTTCACTGCTGCACCATCTGCAAATAGTCCGACATGTTCCAGCTCAACGACTTTGCCAGCTTGGAGCGACGCCGTCATTCCAGCGGCATCAGCTGCCTCGACACCAATCACCTTGACACTCGGACGGATCTGCTTGACCCAGGCTGCAATACCGGCGAGCATACCGCCTCCGCCAGAGGCAACAAAGATAGCGTCCAGTTTCTCTCCAGATCCGCTGGTTTGCTGCAAGATTTCCATGCCGATGGTACCCTGACCAGCGATGACGTACGGGTCGTCGAACGGAAGGATCATCGTGAGCTTCTCCTCCACCACCAGTCTGCGGGCCTCGGCAGCAGCGTCGTCGAACGTTTTGCCATGCAGTACAATGTCTACGAACTCGCCGCCATGGTGGCGCACAGCGTTCACTTTGATATCGGGTGTGGCCAGTGGCATGACAATCTTGGCGCGGACTCCGAGCTTGCGGGCTGAGAGCGCAACACCCTGCGCATGGTTACCGGCCGAGCAGCACACACAACCGGCAGCCTTCTCCTCTTCCGATAGACTGGCCATTTTGTTGTAGGCGCCGCGGATTTTGAAGCTGAAAACGGGCTGCAAGTCCTCACGTTTGAGCAACACCCGGTTCTGGAGCTCATGGGACAACGCTGGCGCCTCCTGCAGTGGAGTCTGCTCCGCCACGTCGTACGCACGAGACTCGAGGATCATGCGCCGGTAGTTGGGTGGTGACTGTGTTGACAGTCGGCGCACAGCGGCACTCACACGCGAGAGAGTCGAGCGGCGCAGCATGGTGAAGCGACTCTAGGATTTAGCGAATGACACATGAGCCGATTGTGGCCTGTCGAAGTGTTTGCGCATTTGACAAAAAAAATAAACCGCGTTATTTTTCTTGTGGAGTGAAAGTGGTCTAGAATTTAGTACGGTCTAGAGCTTAGTACGGTCTAGAACTTAGTTATGATACTTGCTGCTAGTTCTAAAATTTAGTTGAAGCGGTTGCTGTACTGTAGTTCTAGTTCTAGCACCTAGCGATGCGCAGCTGTCGGGGAGGAGTTCGATGTCGACGCCGTCCAGCAAGATAGCTGGCCGTCTTGTGTCCCCGTGAAGAGCTTACGCTTGTCTGGAGTGACGCAGATAGCAGTGATGGCGCTGCTCGGTGTCACCTTGTGGCGACCTTGGAGCTCAATGACCCATTCGTCCTTACGTCGTTGTTGAGGCTGCTCACTCTGATCCCGACCACCGGATTGCGAGTACGCCCAAACGCATAGAGTGCCGTCAGCATGGCCAGTCACGACGTGTTTCTCAGCGCTCCATTCGCACGCTTCACCGCGGTTCACTGCCATTGAGGTGATGGCGACCGGAGAGAGTGCAGAAGGGTCCTGAAACACGACGACGGTGTCATCCAAACGCACACGGAGAACCCCATTAATGTTGTACACTCCGAACGTTGATCCAGCAGCCACGACAATGTCGCCAGTCACCTCGTTAATGCATATCGTGGTGATGCTATGCACCCGACCGCTGTCTTGACCGCTTATCGGTGGGAGCTGGCGGATGAATCGACGGCGATTCAAGTCCCAAAGCACAGCGACACCACCAGCACAGCCACTCACGAGGACACTGTACGCTCGACTTGCTTGCAGCGCGGTTATTTGATGCTGGTGCGTTGGTGTAGCTACTGACCCCATCAGTGTGAGCGATCGCGTGCTGGATGGTCCCATTGTGGTGTAAGTACGACGCCTGTGAGGTGCACTCAACGCCGACGCAGCCGCCAGCGAACTCGCTACTGCTGCAGCCGAGGACGATGTCGCCGACGCCGAAGAAGAACCCGAGGCGGCAGCTAGAGACGCAGCTAGAGAGCGACGTGTCGAGTTGAATCGCCACACGCGCATCACAGGCAAACCCGGACTACTTGTGATGACAATTCGACCGTCAGTGGTAATAGTTGCGACGTCAATCTCCACATCCAGTTCCAAACATGCAACCACCTTGGACTCGCTACCATGACCACCGATCTCTGAGGATCCAGTAGAAACAACCTTTACCGATCGATCGTGGAACCCCCACGCAAGATACTCGTTATTTCGTGGAGGGATCAACAGACACTTGGGGCCAACAGCAACCACCTTTTCTTCTCGCGCAACTCCGCCACTTGTCCACGCAATGTGGTGTATGCTGGTATTGCTACAAGAAGCCGAGTTCTGCTGTCCACGTCGGTAGAAAGCCAGAAGTGGATTAACAGGGACCTGTCGTCGTGGGTCCTGCTGTAACATTGCTGAGGTCTCGAGAGCTGGCGAAAAAGTTGTTTCTGTCGTGCCTACGAACGTACCGCTGAGTACCGGGCCGCTAGACAGCATAGTCTGCATCCGCGAGATGATTTCTCCTCCTTCCAGAAAAGAACTTGCAAGCGCGGCTCGGGTAGTCACGGGAGAAGTAGCCACTCTCCTGCCATCTCCGCTGTCGCCTTGAGCGTTACTGGCACCAGAAGACGGTCCTAACGAACCTCCGAAGAGCGAACTATTCGTTGCAGTATTGCTGCTCGCTGACGCAGAGACTGCGCGGACTGGATGCGGAGTCCGGAACAGTTGTGATGGAGTTTGTCCAAACTCTGTGATTTGATCCAGGATGGCGCGCTTGGTTGACGCGTCCGTGATAGCATCCAAGTCCACTGATCCTTCATACGTGAGATGGTAAAAGATGTTGCAAGCTTCCACTGCCGCTGGCCCTTGCTGCTTGTATCCAAAAATCAAATCGATCCAATGATGTAAGTTCGCTGATACGTACGGACTCTCGAGTGCTGCTCGGTTCAACCGCACGAACTCGGTAGGTGATCCGTTGGCCCAGGGTGGAAGTTCCACGTCTCCTACGACGACTCCAGTCTGGCTAGTGCCGAAAACGCATTTGTTGACATTTTCTAGGAACTCTGGCAAGTAGAAGAACTCGGGGATGAGTTCTTTCACGTCCTGGGTGCCATTTTGAGCACCTTCAAAACCGGCAGCACTCTTCCAGGCGCCGACAACACTCGTGAACAACCTGTCAGCGTGGTCAAATTTCCCGCCGTGAAGGCGGCGAAAGTGTGAAGTAAAAGGCTCCAGGCGCATCAAGTAGTGCAGCGTAATAGCAGCTGATGAGTAGTGCGTACCATAGTGGAATGGGCGCGAACTGAGCGGGTGATCATCTGCATCATCGTCAGCAGCTCCAAGAGATTCCAGCAAGCCATCGTAGCGCGCTCGAAACTCCTCTTCGCGTTGAAGTGCACCCATGGGCTTGCATAAATCTCGATAGGCATTTGGATCGCTGAGATCCAATATCTCGGACTCGTAGTCAGCCAAGACCCACGGAAAGACGGGGTACTGCGTGAGGTCATTGTACGATCTTCCTGCCAGCGTGTTGAGGTGCATGAGGTACGCGAAGTTGGAAATATCACCTTGAACCCAGCGCTCTGTCATACTGTTGCGCAGCAGTTTGCGCAACTGTGAATACAAATCGCCCCCTCCTGACACGCCATCGAGACCACTGGCTGCTCCCTGGACATTAGGACACTTGGCCAAGAGTGCATGAAACACGAGCTCACGTTGTTCCAGTGACTCTAGCGTAACCTGTAGTAAAGCAGTAACAAAGTGAATTCTTGGAGAATATCAAAAAAAAAAAAAAAAGGAAAAACGTACCAAATAGTTTCTGCCATCGTTTGCAAAAAACTCGAGCGCAACGTGACGGAGCTGGTATCTTCGCTTGTGAAGCTCCTTAATGTCTTCGTACGCCCAAAACCGGCACTGATGGGTATCCCTGGATCTCGAGACAGGTTGCGAGTGGTGCGGAGACTCGAGGACACGCCAGCTTAGACGACGTTCCAGCAACGTTGTGGAACCTTGAGGAACCTCCGTCACTCGAACTTGGGAGTTGTGCTCGCTTCCATTATCAGTGTGAGAAGAAGTGAAAGGCTGACTCTGTCGCTGGTAATTGTCGACGATATACACGTGATCATTGCATAGCAAAAAGACGCCAGGACACGAATCCATGCCGTCAATTCGCAAACAGTCGTAAATGTCAGCGATTTCGTCCCCCGGCATCAATAGCGGCCGGAGTTTCTCATCAACCACATCTTCCATAACCACACCGCCAGCGTTGGCTGCACTTTCAGCAGTCGAACTCTCGACCCCGCCGACATCACCTGCCTTTTCCTCTTCATTGTCGGCACTGGCATCATGTTCGACGATACTGTCGTGACCAGCAGATAGTCGGTTAAAGCGAAAACTCTGAGATGGGCGTCTCTCATTCTTCACGTATTTGTTGAACAAGGCTTCAAAGGAGCCCTTGCGCAACCGCTCCCTGGAGCTTAACACAGCAGACGATGATGCACTGGTCGCAAATGGTCTCTTCGCGGCTGGATGCCGGGGTTTTCCCACCTCACTTTCATCGGATCGCTGCCGCGTGGAGAGATGCGCAGCTGTACCGCTGGGAGACTTTTCCCGAGAAATGGTAGCGCTTAGATTGACATCAGACTCTGAATAGCGTCGCTGAAGTCGCCCAGATCCGTGAAAATCCCCGTTTGGTGCTAGAGCAGAAATTCTTGGCTTCATTTTATTGCTGGTTTCACACAAACGCGCTGGAGATGATTGCTGGCCACGAAAACGCGGAAACTCGAGAGTCTGAGCCATTCGGGTAAGCCGTTTACGCATTCGATACGGACCTTCCGTAAAGTCCAATCGCCAGCAATAATGTTGAGGAGATGACGCTTTAATGTCATACCTGGTTCGATTTACAATCTCCACCATCAACAGGGGATTATCCGACGCGTTTACCCCAACCTTTTGCTCTTTAGCTTTTCCATCAGCAAGAGCATCTCGCTGGAAATCAAGGTGCAGGCGTCCCCATTGGCGAGCAACAAATTTCTGTCTGTCCACTCGGTCTTGTTTCCACTTAAGCTGACGGCGGAATTCATGCTGCTGTGATCGCAGAAGAGACTCGACGTAGGCATTCTCCATCGATACAAACCAATCGCACCGTGCTTCAAACTGCTTTTCGTACTTGATTTTCCGGTGATTGGCTTTCTTGTGATACGCTGCCCATGTTTCATGCACACTTTCCTTGGTTTCCACCACAAAGTTAATGTAGATACGATCCAGAATGTTCTCTAACTCTTTCAATGGAGGCCCAACAAGCTCCAGCCACTTCGAAAACTTGGCGAACGATGACGATTGCACTATTTGTCTCCCTTCAGGAGTGTCTGCACATTCAAGAAGTACGTCAAACCCGTTCTTCATCAAATTTACCGAATATGGCGGCGCCCCACTCTTTCGAATTTCGACAGTTAGTAGATCATCAACAAAAGTCCGTTGAAAAACCATGAGATCGATCCAAAGATGTGCAGCCGCTTCTTGGAGCGGGCGGATATTCGAGTCACTCAACAGTTGCAGCAGATATCGGCACAAGCAGCCCAGAAATCGTTTGTCGTGGGTATTTTGTGAGCCGAACACGGTTTCACGATGTGAATGGATCTGCTGTAACATAGCTTCCAGCTCTTCATCACCAACCTCAGCACCACGACCGTGTATGACGTGTAGAATGACAGCATTTAAGGCTGTAAACAGCTCGAATAGTAGATTTTCGAGCTCTGCAGAGCGAGTCATTCGATCCATAAGTTGTCGAAATGGCTTCCGTTTCTTCCCTTTGCCTAGTTTCTCCGAGAGCAAGCCACCAAACGATGAAGACGTTGATAATACCGACAATCCACCTCCACTTGTTCCACATGTACCGATATTTGCATCTGCCAATACAAACAAAACCATTTCTAATAACCGAGACGGACCACCAACGAAATGAGCTCGCCCACAGCAAGCAAAGGCGGCTGGGCATCCGTCTCCGTGCTGCGGTCGCTGCCAGCTGTGCATTTTCCCAACAACAAACTTCACAAATTCCCGCACGTTCGCCCCAAAGTGTTTGTGCTTGGCCAAGATATCGTCATCGTCAAATTTCGCGCGGATGTGGTCAAGAAGTCCCATTACCACAAGGCTCTGGAAGCGTAAAACGAGTCCACTGTGTAGCGGCGGAAGGACAACTGCTGAGTTTGCAGTGCCATCGACATACTCTTCGACAAAGTCGCTGCCGTTCGGAGCATCAAGCAGAAGTTTCATCAATTGCGCGATTAGCAGTCGTAGACCGCTTGCCGAAACGGAATGATGTAAGAACGGATCACTTCCATTCGAGTCCGCTGCTGCTGCTTCTTCTGCCAACTCTGCCCGAGCTACGGCGATATTGTACTCGGTCAGAGCAATTTGCTTGTCCTCCAATACTTTCGTTACTTGCCCTTGAGAGTGTGGGTACTGATCAATTAAGTAAGCTCTCGCAGCAGCGCAAATCAAACGAGTCAGTTCCTCCATGAACTCCTGTCGCATTTTCTCAGTCCCCGAAACAACGAAACTGTGCAGACTTGGCATATTTTCAAAGATATGATGAAGAAAGTCGAGAACTTCCACCTGGTGAATGTCGTTGAGCTCGGTCGAGGCGCTTGTTACAGCAGATTGCGGTCCTGCGCTTTTCTGATCGGGTTCTCCATCGACATCGACAATTGAAACCATCAACATATCTCCTGCGGTACTCATCATTGCTACTGGGTCATTGAAATGACGGCGAAGTAACACCATAATGACATTCAAAATGCTGAAATTCACGACGCGATCCCGTTGAATGTTGACTTCAAAATCCTTTCTGAGATAGTCGATTTCAAGCCGTATTTCAGTAGGCACGCCGTCAATAGGAGTCCCTAAGAGTGCCCCGAACAGAGTATACCACATCTTTTGGAACGGAAACGGCACCAGTATTTGATCCACAGCGGCTGTAGCGAATGCAATGTGGTTGCATGGCAAACCCTGAGCTAGCAACCGGTAGTAGCCCTCTTTCTTGAACACATTTTCGTACCGTGAGTTTCCCAGCAACGTACATAGCAACCGTAGAGCCGCAATTATTGTTGACGGGGGAATACAAAGTGAAAACTCAGTTTCTTCGCCGGGGAACAGAAAATACTCAATCCACCGCATCCCCAAATACTTGCGAAAGCCCGTAAGACGAGAAGCAGTTGGTAATTGCATTCGCGCAGCCCCACCCGCTGAATTGCTTGATGGAGCCATGGCTTTCAACGCTCCAACAGAATTCATTTCTGAGGTCCCATTATCAAGGTCTTCTCCATTTTCTCTGTTCTCCTTGATATCAAGCTTGTGCACTGCTTTGACCAGTGCATCCAACAACAGTTCCTGGATTTTAGCTTGGTGTGAGATCAGCCGCGCATTTGCCACTTTTGTTGGTCCCGGTTTTTCCTCTGAGTCTTTCGTGTCACTCCAAGAGTCCATTCTTTGAGATCCCCGAGGACTCAGGCACAATCGACCAGTAGGACTCGCTAGCGTGTGCATTTTGAACTGTCCAGTGTTTCTTTCAGTGACATCAAACTTTTCGTCATCGCTCATTGTGGCTAACACCACTTCCGCAGAGATTTCATCATCGACAACTTCACTCCGATAGCGACCAAAGCGTGGAGACAGCGTAGCTGCAAGAAAGCTGGTAACATCTGAAAAGTTTGATTCCACAATTGAATCACGGCTTGGGCTCGTCAAGCACACCAATATCACATCCACAACCACTCTAGAAACACCGTCCGTGACGGTCGGGTCCATTAGCACGTACAATAATTGCCGAATAAAGCTCATCGACTGCAACTGTGCTCGGTTCCGCTCACGAATCGCCTCATCAGCAGCAGCCAAGCATGCGTACAGCGTCGAAAAAAGTAACTTTGCTGTATCCGCGCCCGGCAATTTTTGCCAGAGTGAGTAGTCCAAAATAAAATACTGGAGAGCTTGCACATTCCTGATAGCACTATCTCGTGAATGATGTGCCTCTATCCCCGATTGCCGCACAGGTGCGTCGAGTTCAAAGTCCACCCCAACGATACGGAAAAGTGTTTGCAAGCATGTCGCGCTTAAAAGCGATGCCTTTTGATGCAGTAAATAATTCACAACACCGTATCCATGATCGTTCTCCATCGCTGCGAGGTTACGAAAATTACTCTGCATACACAAGCGCAATAGATCGAGAGCCAACTCCACCTCCTCTTTTGTAGAAGCCTCATCAAGCAACCCATACGCTATTTGACACCCAGAGGTGCGGATGTCGAACATGGCATCTGCCATTGTAGCAGCTTCACACAACGTGGTTCCTCCCATTAGATGCCCACTTGGTCGTCCATCAAGCTTACTACTGGGAACCATCGATAGCTCTTTAGCAACGCCATTTCGTGCTGAGTATGTAACCACAATACGCTCAGACGGAATGGGGATATGGATCAATGGTGCTGCACTAGGAATGCGAGCGAAAACGTTGGAGCTGGATTTGATGTCCTGAACGATTGCTGCGGCTGTACTGGATGCTGCTGAAGCAAGCGACAGACTCCGACGAAGCAGTTTATTACGGCCGCCACGTTCAACATCGACAGAATCGATTAATGATCGGACAGGGTCCCACATGTATGAATCAAGCATCACCATGTTTGGTATGCTCAGGTGGTCAAACGTGACTCCGATTTCGTTACTTCCAGTAGCACCAAAGAACAATCGGTCATAAGACGGCCCCGCTGCAAATACTGCATTCACTACAGGTGGCGAGACTGGCAGGTCCAACAGATAAAATGGACCCAGCATCCATTTCGCACTGGAACAGCGGCGAGCCTGGGATGGTACACCTAGCAAACCACTAAGCGGTTGGCTCCCAGTAATACCGGAAGGGTACGATATCTTCACGTTCTCTTGCAGAATTCCATTTAGGTAGCAAGAAACCATACTGGACTGGAAACGTTGCCTTGCATGAGTGAAAACCACGTGATACCACTGTCCTGTCGTAATTGGGGTATGTGAAAACTGGTAAGCAGACGCACGGTTGGAGCTCGTCCGCATATAGAGCTTTCCCCCTTTGAGAAACGCCTCACTGACTGACTTTCCATCACTTGATCGAAATCTGAAGATATAGAACATCGGTGGGTTACAAACCACACACTCACCGCCACTGTTTAGCAGAGCCTCTATGCAGCCTCGACATGCTCGATGAGAACACTTCAGCACGCACTCATCTTGTATCTTGTTTCGACAGTGAATACACGTGTTAGACATAAAGCACTCGCGATAGAGTTTTTCACGATCATCCTTGCGATCCAATGAGTCCACTCGAAACCATGCCATCACTGAGTATCCGTCTGGAGGAGGCCACACCTTGGAGCTGTGGGCAAATGTCGACAGGGACGGCGTAGTGGTTGCAGGTTCAATCGAAGAACTGGACCGAGCATTCACATCCGGTATTTGTAGACAGCCATATCCATCTTTTGATACATCAAACTCAATTCCAGGAGCACCCTTGGCACGCTCAAACGTTGCCGAAGTCATTTTTACCAGCAACCGCATCAACGTTGGAACAGGGGAAGCGAATATCTCCGTTGATAGCACGGAGGCGTGAGAATCGCTTGGAGTTATCGACCGCGCACGAGATGAGCGGTCCGCCTTCTTTGACTTTTTCGAATTTCGTGGCCGCTCATGGCACAAAGACAGCATCATTTTAATCCAGTAGTCAGCAGCCGTTAGAGAAACGCCGGCTAGTGCAACATTCTTCACAAGGGAAGTAGCGGTCACGTGAAAAGCATTGTTTTCCCAAAGAAGCGCCTGCGAAAGATTATCCTCCCTGGATCGGTGTGAATCTTTAGCGCTGTGGGAAACTGTAGTAAATGATCTCAATAGGACTTCCAACACATTAGCCGACGCCAAGCGATGAGAGTTACCGGGGCTAAAGCAACGAATAAACGATTACCGCAGTTATTCACTGGAAATGAACCAACAAGCATATCCCTACTGTGAGGTGCTACGTACCTCGTTGAAATACGTAGAAAAGTGCCCAGCAATTGATGCGTAACACTAGTACCGATACGCTCTGCCCACAGTACCAGTAGCTGAATCCCAATACCAAATAACTGGGGATAGCGCAGCCTAATAGGGTTATCCTCTTCCTTCTTTTGCATGTCTATCGAGGGATAGCTCCCACGAAGATATACCATGTCATAATCATCCACGGAAAAGCCAATACAATACCACAAGCAAGACTGGATGAGTGGCCTCGCCCCTGGTATTTCACTGCCATTGACCGCTTGAGCAACAGGTTTTGAATCTATAAATCTCGCCAGTAAGTTGGATATTAAATCGCCAAAGGTTCCAAACGCGATAAAGCTAGAAGCATAATGTCACAAGTTAGCAACGATAAAACATAGAAAAGTACGAGAATAAACCCAGTTGCTTTCGTACCTGCACATTTGTTGCTCTGCTTCGGCATTCGTAGCGACAATAGAATAAATGGACTGGAGCGACATCATCACAACAGAGTATGAAACAGCAGCATCATTGCTACTTGTAGGAGTACCGTTTAACTCCCACTTCTTCGTCACGGCGCACAAGACTCCCAATAGCGATACAATGATATCACAGTCCAGCAAAGCTCCAATAATTCGCTCTTTCATCGATGTCTCCTCGATACAAGCTCCATCGTGATCACCAAGTTTTGTCATGGCTGTCGTAGATGCTGATTTAGGGCGTAGTAGGGACTCGATGTACTCGAGTGCTCCCTGTAATACCTCCAGACTTCCAGGAAACACTAGCGCAACGTCGCCATCTTGCGGGAAGTAGGCTGCCAGCGTTACATAGCGTATAGCTTGTAAAAGGCTGTTGATCACGTTGCGGAGCACTACACTGTCTTCCTGCAATACCAACGATAGTTGGAGGATAGACGCCCACAACGCAAGACCTTCCAGCTGAAAAGTGGCGTTTCCAATCAGCATGCACACGCTCTCGAGCATTGGCAATCCACATAATGTATGTTCGAAATGTTTCTCGTCCATGGCAGCAGTGTTACTCCGGGACCCGTCAACAAACATCTTCATGATGTCGATGAGAACAAGGTAATCTGAGCGGCTCGTTGCGGTACGACATGAGCTACGGCGCCGTGCCCTTTGATGGCAATGCGATGCCATCAACGAGATAATTAACTGTTCATCGGCACTGACCGGATCGCTCACACCATTAGGCTGACCGGCTCGAACCGTGCTAGTCGGATATTCCACTCTAATCTGAGTAGCTCCAGCATCCGAGCAAACGGCATTAGTCTGATCAAGAAACAGTGCCACAATAGTACTCACGAGACCGACGGAGCGTAGCACTTGGTGGTAAACTTCGTCGAACCGAATCAAATTAGCGATGAAAGCCAGAAGCGCATGAATCGAAGATCTTTGAAATGTATCCTGATTATCACATACTTAAGTTAATGGTTGGTTAACGTTACATCACACTGCCAACTTTCACATCCAACTCCGGTACTGACCTTCCGAATGAATGCGTTTATACATTCCAGCTCAACGTACGGAATCATCTTTGCTTCTATCGCAATTGCTGAGAGAACAGACATAATCGTTTGCTGGGCCATCTCCGAATAGTCATCAAGATGCTCAATAGCCCGCGCGATAAGATTTGTTTTCTATAAAGAATAATCGAGTTAGTTTTTATACGTTAGTTACATGTGTATAGACTGGAAATTGTGACAGTACTTACGCTCACAAATTCGTAGTCAAACTTGTATGTGACGACAATTTGGCAGAGCTTCTGAAGATACAGACACTCGAGCTGCTCACGGTCGTTTGCCAACTCACCACAAAGTTGGCTGTCACTGTGCTCTTTCTCGATCTTCGTCGGACGATGTAAATATGCCAGAATATCTGAAAACAATCCAAACGCTTCGGGATTAAATAATGACTGGCCAACACCTGGTATCGCCGAATCAAGAGCCAACTTAAAGGCCTTGTTCTGATAAATATTGCCCCTTGGGAGAGGAGTGTCGCTGCCCGACAAGCACAGTTCTGCAACAGCATCGGCAAGGTCTTGATCATGTTGTCGAAGGGTATCTAGCGTAGGTGATGCCGTCTCTCCTGCGCAGATGGCCCGTTGGCGGGATTCAAACAATTGCGTAAATGCAGTCAAAATTTTATGCCGTTGTCGGTCCGCGTGCACTTGTCTGTGCAAGTCAGAGAATCCTGCAGTAATCGCTCCCCTCAAAGACAAAGCTATAACCAATACGACCTCCGCTAGCACGCCCGTTCCATTCGCACGCTGAATCAAGTCAAGCAGACACCGCTCCTCGTATAATTGCTTCACCATGGATCTCCACCTGCTCGGCTGTAGACTTTGAGCCAGAGCCGCCACTACCTGACGCATTACCAAGCACGAATAAAACTTCTAATTAGCTCACAACACACCAGAACAGCACCAAAACCAGCACTAAAATGTACCTTCAGAACGGCTATTTGCAGTGTTTCCTCCGCAAACGCCAGGTGGAAGATCCGATGTAGCGTGCTACTCTCATTAAGCTCCTGTACCACTTCGGGAGACGTAACAAGCAGTGCCAACACGTCCAGAATTATCCTGACCAACCCTTCTTGAGCGTCTTCAGCACTTCCTCCGTCACTCAACGCCTTCACGACCTTAACAAACGTCGACGGTATCCTCTCACCCACTAGTAGCAGAGCTTGGGTGTTGTCTCCAATTACAAGAAGAGCCTTCAGCACCCGCAGCAACTGCAGTATACGATCCCTTTCCTCTTTCTCTGTATACAATAGGAACTTAGTGTGGACATTTCCGTCCAGCCTCCCAGCGTTGAAGAGCTCCAGCGCGCGACTGAAGTAACCACGTAGCCGCTGAGCACTCACACTGATGAGAGTGTTGGTATCTCGCTCGTTCAGTAGTTTCCTCCCGTTCTCCACGGACTCAGAAGCTTGCGCACCGCCCACGAGGACGTTATACAGATAATGGAGAGCCTCTTGTTGGCTCCCTGGCAGCGCAGACGTCGCGAATGTCACTACTTTTGCGTGCAGGGAGCCAACTGCTACTTTGGCTCGTTTCTCGGCTAATTCACAGCCATTTTTAGAATCGAAAGTCTTGGCGGAGGCGGAAGCAGCTCGGCGAGGAGATCCAGTGGATGGCGAAGCGTGTCTTGGGCTTCCAGACGGAGAGGACGCCGAGGGACTTCGCCCGCGCCGATGAAAGACGCGCTTCATGATCGAGGTGCGGTGCTTCAAGCGGCCGTTTTGCTGAAAGTACAATGGGATTGGGAGAAAATGATTTAAACCAATAATATGGATGTTTCTAAACGATTAGAAATGGGTAAACAGCTGCTTTTTAAGCGTTACTTTGCGCTACTTTAGGTCAATCTCAACGCATCACAAACCGACGCAGGTCCCGTATTGATGTATGAAATTTTATTTTAGAAGCATACTGAAACCAAGATGCGGGTCCCCGGAAAAAATAGTCCAGATAAATGTATGGGTACCCTAGACACCCATAATTTTATATCCCTGGACTATTTTTTCCGGGGACCCGCATCTTGGTTTCAGTATGCTTTTTGACGTGAACCCCCTTGTTCATGAGCGCAGTTCACGAACAAGGGGGTTCGCTTCGATAGAACTGCTAACGTTAATATCTGCACAATTTCTCGACTTTGGAAGGTTCAATGGCCAGTTGTAAACCAAGTGTGGGATGCCTACAAAGGTCGTGCACTTCGTGACAGTTCCAGGCCAAACTTAGGAGAAACTTACAATGCTACCTGCGACGACCTGGAATCGAATTCAGGCGCGGGGAATGAAAACTGCATCGATCGCAGTGTGTCGCCTCTAGATGACATTTGTAATTTCAACTTTTTGACTGACGATGGAGAAACTGCGGATGGAGAGAAGAAAAGCGAGTCTGTGCAGGGAGAAAGTGCGGACACAGAGAAGAAAAGCGAATCTGTGCATGAAGAGGAGGAGGGGTATGAAACTTCAGATAGCTATGGTACTGTACCAGACAAATCGAAAGCCCTGTCGACACAACATGTGGTAACGTGCTCAAGACGGCAGGACGTTGCGTTCAAGAGCGAGCACATACCGCTGCAACTTGTGACGATGACACACGTTGTGTTGGATCAGGCTCGCGAAAACCGCTAATCTACACCGTTGCCAACCCAAACTCGCGGTACTGTAAGGCAAAGTCGAGGGAAGTAACTAAAGTAACTCAAAATCTGTAGACATTGTTTTTTAAAAAATTGAGTTTAGAGCAATCCGGATTTAGTGTAAAGCAAACCACGCATTTCGACAAGCAGCCTCCCCCAGGACCGCACATTACAACATCGCCGATGCCAACAGAGCCGAAGCACGGGCTCGCTGCCAGGACGCGTGTGCTGGACGCTCGTAATGCTGGAAGGGACTGGATGCTGGTTGCCGACTGCAATGACATCCATGCCACTACTGCGCGCGACATCGTGAACCGCGGGACTCCGGAGGTAAAGCAGAGAGGAGGCTCGCGAGCAACGTGCGTTAAGTGCACACCGGAGATGGAGGCAGCTCTGGTGGAGTACATCGAAGAAAATTGTCTGTACACTCTTGCTCAGATGCAGGAGATGCTGCACTTCGGCTTCGGAGTGCGCATCAGTACGTCCTTGACCAGCAAGAAGCTGTGTGACAAGATGTATACAATGAAACAGGTCCATGTACGCATACATTTAGCTGTTACGATTTTGTTTCTAACTTCAAATAATGTTGATAGGTGCGGGTCAAGCCGGAAACGTGTAATAGCGCGCAGAACATCAAGAAACGGAAAGAGTTTGCGGACAGCCTGCTAGCTCATGAGAGAAATGGATCCTTCATTGTGTATTATGATGAAACGAATTACAATATTTATTGTAAGAGATCCCAAGGACGCGCCCTCATTGGTGAGCGGGCTGTGGTTAAGCTACCACCTTCCAAAGGTGCAAACCTACAGTTGAAATGCGCGACTTCACCCGAAGTGGGGCTAGTACACTGGGCTAAGCAGCGTGGAAGTATCAAGATGGAGGTGAATGCGGCCTTCGTGGACGATGTGTACGACGCTGTGAAGGCTACAGATGTCTACCGAGACTTCTTTGTTGGTAAAACTATCGTTATCATCTTGGATAACGCTCCCGCTCACAGCCAGGCTGAAGACCTGATCAAGAACCGGGAAGACCTGGAGATGCTATGGTTGGGCCCGTACTCGCCTATGTGTAACCCGATTGAGGGTATGTTCTGCCAAAGGAGATGCATTGATCAGTATTAACAATTGCAACTGCTTTTAAGGTTGCTTTAGCGTGTTAAAGGCTCGGATCAAGGCTTTTCTCGTCTTCAATGCCGATCAAATGTTCGACTTGCCCTACGGTGAGAAAACGGAGCGGAGAATGCGATTGCTGGAGAATGCTGCAGACCACTGCATTGGATGCATGGATCTCCGTCTTGTCAACAGGATGGCTTGCCACAGCGCACACGCAGTTGCTGCTGCTGTTTGAAACGAATCCATGCAGTATGGACTTTAAGGTCGTTTGGTTTACACTAAATCCACATTGGTCTGGACTGATTTGTTACAAAACATTCTAATAAAACTTTTTTCTTCTTTACGGGACACTCGACTTTGCCTTACAGTACCGCGAGTTTGGATTGGCAACGGTGTAGTACTTGCGAACCGCCTAGTGGAGATAGATGCACTTGTAGCGACCGACGACTAAGGTTGCGGCACAGAAACGAAAGTATGTACTCGACTCGGCAGGACGAACAATCGCCTGTGGGGAATGTGATGTGATCTGAGCAACAAACGTATTTCATAGGAGCTCATTGCCGCAAAGTTGGGGGGGGGGGGGGTCAGAATCTGTCTTGAGAAATCATGCTTTCCCGAGCTGCTGAAATTTTGACCGATCGTATCGATTCTGATGTACGAGTAATTGACGAAGGCCCCGAACTACACGTCAAAATAGCTCTTCTAGATGACATCTTGATGCTAGGATCCATCCACCAACATGTCACTATCCGCATTCACTAGCAACATTGAAGACATCTCATTTCTCGCTCTATGATCGGTACGCATGTAACGTATTTTTGTGCCTGACAGATGGGTTTCCTAAACTGTTCCTCATACTGTTTTAGTGGCAGAAGACGAACAAACTTTTATTCGGCGATGTGGCAAAACTGACTCCCTCTAGGGCAGTTGATCAGCTCCCCCAAGAAAATCTCGCCGTTTTACTGCAACAAAGTTGCGAGACGGTCGCAGATCTCCGACGAATTGCTAACACTCGTGGAAGTAATTATGGACAATCATCGCATTGAAAACAATCACGTGGGTATGCACAGGATATTACACGAGAAAACAGTCACAATGTGCTGGCGTACTCCAACTTGTTGTCTCCCAAGAGTTGTACTTGATGATGGCAGGATGTTTCAAGCATCCGAGAAACATCGTGAGTAATCGGTACGCTATCGAGCAAAAGTTCGAAGACTAAGGCTTGAGCAACTCAGCCCTGAAGATGATAACTCTAACGACTTGCCAGCAGCATCGCCCACCAATTGCTGTTAAATTGTGGACACCATCTGCAGTTTCTTCTGCAGTTTCTTCTATTGGTCCCGTTGCTAGCTAGTCGCTTAGAAGAACATCCACCCGCCACACTCGCGAGCGACACGTGCTCGGCGAGCACTTCTCGCTGGAAGGCATTTTTATGGTCTATCAGCGAATGAAATTACATTATAAATCCACAACGTCCATTGAAAATACTTAAAATTTAATTTGTATTAAACCTTTCGTTTTGATCATTATGAGGCCGAATGAACTGCCTGCCTTTTGTACAACGAGATAATATTTTCGCCTGACTTTTTCAATTTATTTAAATGAATTTAATCTAAAACCGTGTAAAATAAAATATTCAAAACAATTTGAAATATATTTTTAGTTGATGATAAAATAAAATATATTTGTCGGGAATCCTGCTAATAACTAATTTCATCTCCCAGCCGCGAGATGTCGAATCGCAACGTGAAGAAGGCGCTGACGCTGACACGCGTGAAGGATCTGAGCCCGACGCTGAGCGGTAAAGAGGTGAATGTGAAGGTGATTGCGCTGGAGTGCAATGCCAAGGACGAGGGCAACGCCAGCAACAACGCCACACTGTTGGTGGGGGACGATTCTGGCTGTGTGAGCCTAGTGCTTCCCAAAACAACGGCGCTGCACGTTCGGCTAGGCGACATCCTGCAGCTGACTACCACTCAGGTAGTGCTTAAGAGCAGTCGGATTTATTTATGGGGCGGCAAGGTGGAGCGCGTGGGCGAGTTCCTGCTGCTTTTCAAGGAGAGTAACAACGTGAGCAACATCACTTGGGTCAAGGACCCCAAGAACCCCGAAGTATTGGTGCGTTGACCTTCTAGTTGCTGACTTCACATTACTACGCAGTCCGTTGTTGACCCTGTGCTATGGAAATCCTTGTTGAAAAACTAAATGCGTTCTGGTTGCTGCAGATCCCGGGACGCAACCCCGCCAAGAGGCCAAAGCCACAGCCTGCTAAGTGAGTTTGTGTGCTTAGGTCATGTGAATTAATCGGCATTTTTAAGTACAACAGGTTTAGTCGGTATCCTTGCTTTCGCTACTTCCTTGAGGGTAGAGCGAGACAACTAAAGAACGGGCTCGTCCTGGGGCCGAGCTTGGAGTTGGTGCGTTCTGCTTAGGAGCCTGGTTGGTATGAACTGGATTACTGGTTCCTTGCAAATATTGGGGGAGTCGTTGCTCTGGACGAACAACCAAGCCGATTTCAGGCTTTCGTGCCAACGGGTCTTCTCTCCGCTGTCGATGCTCAACCTGTTCAATCCACGTCGAAGCCCGCGCCTTGCGGAACGAGAATTTCGTGACGGATGGTATTTCAGATGTATACTTCCATTTACCCGCACTGTCCATCGATCGTGAGTCAGGCCGCCCGCCCCAGTGCGCAAGTCGATTAGGAGGAGGAAAATCCTGAAAGTTACAACAAACTGAATACTCTAGCACAATAGAAAATCTGAAGATGCAAACGCTTACGCCACTTTGGCGAGCAGGAGGGTCTGTAAGTAGACCTTTTGGCTTCTTCATCACATCGTAGGATCCAGGACCAACACACTCTGGAGTGACAGATTTCTGTAAGACCCGCACTTAGTTAGCCAATGCTCGATGTTGATTGCCACGTTAACACAGACTCACATGGTTGAAGCGCTTAGAGGTACTGCACAAGCTGGTGCCTCGCAAAGATCCTGTGCCATGACAGCAAAATGTCAATACTATTAGCCTAGTTGCGTATCAAGAAGAGCACAACGTACGATGGACTTCGTAGCCCAACGAGTTGCGGTTGGAGCTGTAGAGTTGGTCGGCACTTAGGCATTCGTTCCGGAAGGCAGTGCCAGGTTTCACCGTCGTCTTTGGCAGACGCGAGTCGATCCTGGGGCCTTGAGTTGTCCACATCCGTCTCGAGTCTCGTGCGTACACGAATCGATCTGGCGCCCTTCCGCCCTTCTTGAGCGCTGAGTTAGCACGCGGGTCGAAGAAGAAGGACTCGCGGAAAGGCGGATACGAGGCCCTGGTGATGCCCAGTGTGCGTATCTGGGCGGGGGTCATTCGGGAAGGCAGGACGTCGGGTCCCGAAGGCGGAGCTCCGGTGGGGCAGCGCATGGTCATGTGGTAAGGATGAAAACTTCAACTTCCCCACCGAAATAGACCGGCAACCAATCAACGGACGTTGCCGCATTTTAGACACGTGGCACTACAACTCGTTGAAGTGAAACTTCGACTAAAACGCACGAAAAGCAAGCATTGCATTGAAGTTATGTGTAGCAAAAAGTAGTTAAGCAAGGTAATAAGATCTCTGTTCTGTAGATGCCAAGCCACTAACCTCTCAGAGTGTAGATAGCTAAACTACTCACGAGTTGCACAAAGGCGATCAGCAAGGAAGTCGTAACGACTACGACGTCTACATCATCTCATCCATCTCCTCGTCCTCGTCGAACTCGCCCTCCTCCTCTGCGGTGGCATCCTGGTACTGCTGGTACTCAGACACAAGATCGTTCATGTTGGACTCGGCCTCGGTGAACTCCATCTCGTCCATACCCTCACCGGTGTACCAGTGCAAGAAAGCCTTACGACGGAACATAGCCGTAAACTGTTCGGACACACGCTTGAACATCTCCTGGATGGCAGTAGAGTTACCGATGAACGTAGTGCTCATCTTCAGACCCTTGGGCGGGATATCACACACGCTAGCCTTGATGTTGTTGGGGATCCACTCGACGAAGTACGACGAGTTCTTGTTCTGCACGTTCAGCATCTGCTCATCAACCTCCTTTGTGCTCATACGTCCACGGAACATACAAGCAGCAGTTAAATAGCGGCCGTGGCGAGGGTCAGCGGCGCACATCATGTTCTTGGCGTCGAACTGCTGCTGGGTCAGCTCGGGCACCGTCAGGGCACGGTACTGCTGCGAGCCACGCGACGTCAGCGGGGCGAAACCAATCATAAAGAAGTGAAGACGCGGGAACGGGATCAGGTTCACGGCCAGCTTACGCAGGTCCGAGTTCAGCTGACCGGGGAATCGCAGGCACGTGGTGATACCAGACATGGCGGCACACACGAGGTGGTTCAGGTCACCGTAGGTGGGAGTGGTAAGCTTCAGCGTACGGAAGCAAATGTCGTACAGGGCCTCGTTATCCAGACACATGACCTCATCGGCGTTCTCAACAAGCTGGTGCACCGACAGCGTAGCGTTGTAGGGCTCCACAACCGTGTCCGACACCTTGGGCGACGGGCACACCGAGTATGTGCACATGATACGGTCGGGATACTCCTCACGAATCTTCGAGATAAGAAGCGTACCCATACCGGAACCGGTACCACCACCAAGCGAGTGCGTGATCTGGAAACCCTGAAGGCAATCACAGCTCTCGGCCTCCTTACGGACGACGTCGAGCACCGAGTCAATAAGCTCGGCACCCTCAGTGTAGTGTCCCTTGGCCCAGTTGTTACCGGCGCCCGTCTGTCCGAACACGAAGTTGTCCGGGCGGAAAAGCTGGCCGTAGGGGCCGGCACGGACCGAGTCCATTGTACCGGGCTCAAGATCCATGAGGATGGCGCGGGGCACGTAGCGGCCTCCCGTGGCCTCATTGTAGTACACATTAATGCGTTCCAGCTGCAGGTCCGAGTCGCCGTGGTACGAACCCGTGGGGTCGACGCCGTGTTCGTCGGAGATGACTTCCCAGAACTTGGCACCGATCTGGTTACCACACTGACCACCCTGGATGTGAACGAGCTCTCTCATGATGTTGTCTGTAAGGAAAGCGGGGCAACGGAGGCGTCAGCAAGGGCAACAGCAGATAAAAGATCGCGATACGCCCCTTCCCCCCTTTCCCTTCGTATGGTGAGGCTCCCCCGCCGCAGACGGAGGGGGGAGGGGATCCACATGAGCTGAACGCGAGGGAAAGCATTGGGAAGGTGAAGCGCGGCTTCGGTGTCGTACCTGCTGCTTACGTGCGCGTCGACGGTCGGAGTTCCTACGGCGGCTCTTGGCTGGCTGGCGCGGGCTCTGAGGAGAATTCGGACTTTTGGCGAATGAAGGAGTTTTGCGTTGCGGGCGGCGTTGGGACGCGCGGGAAAAATTACCGTTGGCGTCAAATTTGGGCCCAGCACCGTTTCAAAACGTCGACGACAAACACTCCTTTTTCCCGACCACAAGCATACAAATACAAAGTAAGAGAACATGAAAAGGCGAAACCACTGCTGGTTTGAAAATCAGGATGGATGGCATTTGAAAAGAAAGGGTTTTGTGACTGGATACAGAGAGGGGTGAAAATTGCAGGCTGCATGCCCTAGCGCCTGTTTATTTTTAGCTTACTCAGAATTTCACGTAAGGAAAGCTGCTTCACTGCAATTTTCTCACACGAAATCGTAAATTACCGATCCAAACGTGGAAGGCGGTTTTCACGTTTGAAAAAGCGCGCGTAACGGACGTCGCTTCCCAAGATGAGCTCGATTTGAGCCCGCTCTCCAACTATAAGCTTGGACTAGATGCTTGTGCGAAGGTGTAGATCTCTTGTTGCTGCGCTCCAATGCAATTAATAGAAATAGCACCGTCGCAAACAGCAGCTACATCGTCAAGTACATGTAGAAGACGCAGATACATCTGAGTTTGGAGTCGGAGCGATTGGATATGTATAGCTGCACCGAGACGATGCAATATGCTTGCAGCAGCCGCTGCATGAGCAGCGCCACAAGCTTCTGCAACTTGCGAACCGCAAGCAGCGGCCTTCCAGAAGCGAGCGGTGAATCTCTATCGGCATGTTTCCTACACCAAATAGTGAACCGGCCACTATTGAGAGCATCCAAATCCACCGCATTCATTCTCGACGTTTTCAATTGACGAGACGACTACCAAGCGATGCTGCGCGCCGCTGTGCTTCGATTAGTGCCAAATGTGGCGGCTTCCGCCCGCCTCGTGCGTCTACACCAAGTCAGAGCGTTCTCGTCTGCATTGCCTGATGGTTGGGAGGCCATCAAGCGCAGGAACGGTGCGTTGAGCGGGTCTAATGGAAGCTCAACCTGAAGAAAACATAAAGCCTAGTGAGATGGTAGCTCACAGTAATTGCTCGTACTAGGTGATGTTGTGTATTACAACAAAGACCTACGCAAGACTGTTCGTCATCTTCCCGGTGTAACTCCGCAGACGGTAGCTGCTGCGAAGTCTACGGAGCCTGAGGCCAAGAAGGACGAGAATGAGGCCAACACAGCCACAGTGCCTCACCACGAGAACACGGACAATGAAGTATTTGTTCTTATCGACTTCGATACGGCCGTGTCCATTGAGGGTCATGACTCACAAGTGGTGCACGTAAGACAAAATCGCTGGTTACGTGTGAATTCCTAGAAACTGACTTTGTTTGCATCTTTCGGATGTAGATTGAGCTCGAGCCTAATCAATGCCTGCGAGCGGAGACAGGCGCCATGATCTACATGACAGACGGCGTGGAAATGGAGACGACTACGGCTGGAGGATTCGGTGAAGGCATGAAGCGGTAAGGTGTTGCTTTATAACTCCATAATCGATCGTGAGCAGTACTCACGATTGTGCTGAAATTCTTGCAGAATGATGACTGGTGAAAATTTCTTCGTGTCGCGCTTCACATACCATGGCTCTGAGAAGGGCAAGGTGGCACTTGGCACCAGCTTCCCGAGCAAAATTGTTCACCTTCGGCTGAGTGACTTCCTTGGCGGATCTATCATCTGCCAGAAGGGTGCTTTCTTGTGCGGCTCAGACACCGTCAATATCGAAATGGTTCGTTGTGTTTGTTTACTGTTGCTAGGTTTGTCAGTCGATATCTCTTAACGTGATGACTGTATGTGTTCGCGACACTGTAGGAATTCGCCAAGAAATTTAGCGTTGGGTTCTTTGGTGGCGAAGGGTTTATTCTGCAGAGACTGACAGGCAGCGGCGATGTACTTGTCCGGGCCACCGGAACGCTGATCGAGCGCGAGCTACAACCTGGTGAAATCCTGCGCATTTCGAGTGGTTGCCTCGTCGCCTTCGAGCCTAGTGTCCACTATGATATCACCATGATGAAGGGAGCGAAGAATGTGCTATTTGGCGGCGAGGGCTTGTTCGTGACGACCCTCACTGGACCCGGTAAGATCTACCTGCAGAGTCTGCCGTTCGAGCGCGTGGTTGGAGAAATGGCAGCTCGCATCCCTCGTGGTGGGCCCGGCGGCATGATGTTCCCGTTCATGATGGGTGGCGGCGGTGGCGATCAAGGCGCCAGCGCTGGCGCAGGTGACGAGGCTGCTGGTGCGACTACCGATGTCGACAGCGGCGAAGATGTCGGCGCCGCAAACTCCGAAGACGACTGGGGTGCCAAGGACGACGATATTTATGGTGGAAGCAGCGGCAGTAATGACTCGGCCAGTGGAAGCGAATTTAACGACGTTGGAGCTGGCGAGTCCGAGGAATCGAGCGGTGGTGGCATCATGAGCATTTTCAACAGCCTATTCGGGGACAACGAAGAGTAGATCTGCCACAAGTGGGCCTAAAAGTTGAAAATTTTCGGTTGCAATGTGCAGCTACTAAGCAGCAAGGAAGCAAGAGTGAGTAGGCATTATGTTCTTCATCCTTTTGCGTTGCAAGCGAACTTCTTGCAGTTGAAGTCGTTCAAGCACCTTTCGTGCAACATACACGCAACATAACTTGTGCAACTTTGTGTCTGCAATCTGCCTGCATTTTGTGTAGGAAAAGCGCGGGTGAAGGCTCTGGCTCCACTTCCCATTCGTGTCTTCCCCCTCGCTCTACAACTATGGCTGAAGACGACGCGGCGTCCGTGCGCGTGGCCGTGCGTATCCGTCCGCTCATCGGACGTGAGAAGGTTGAACGCTGCGACGAATGCGTGTCCGTACTGGAGGACGAGAACCAGATCGTTATGGGCAAGAACCGCGCCTTCACGTACGACTACGTTTTCGGTAAGTACGCGCAGCAGAGCGACATTTGGCGCTGCGTAGATCCGCTCATCCGCGCCACATTTGACGGCTACAACTCGACCATCTTCGCCTATGGCCAGACAGGCTCGGGCAAGACCTTCACTATGGGTAGTGGCAGCTCCGTGCACATTCCACCTGAGGATTACGGAATTATCCCGCGTGTTATCAGCTACATGTTCGACCAGATCGACACCAAGATGCAGGAGAATGCGCATTACAAGGCAGAGCTCCGTATCCGCTTCCTCGAGATCTACGGAGAGGAAATCCGCGACCTGCTCGTCACTCTTGGAGACTCGACGGGGGAGAGCAAAGTGAGTCTTCGAGAAGGTGAGAATGGAGAAGTACAGGTTACTGGAGCTTCAGAAGTTGAGGTCGTGGACTCAGATGAATGCATGCGGCTTCTGGAGAGAGGTACACTCTGTCGAACCACGGGCAGTACGCTTATGAACGCGCATTCCAGTCGCTCCCATGCCATTTTCACTGTCTCTATGATACAGCACGTCCCTATTGGTGATCCCCCCGCTGATGGCAAACCTTTAGAGGAAGGAGACTACGAAACCAGAAGCTCGTACTTTAACTTCGTGGATCTCGCTGGTTCGGAGCGTCAAAAGCGGACACAAGCAGAAGGCAAGCGGTTGAAGGAAGGTATCGACATTAACAAGGGACTTCTTGCACTTGGCAATGTTATCAGTGCACTAGGTGACGACAAAAAGCGAGGCAAAGTGCACGTTCCGTACCGTGACTCCAAGTTGACACGAATGCTGCAAGACTCACTGGGTGGTAACAGTCGGACGCTGATGCTTACGTGTGTGAGTCCTGCAGATGTCAACTTCGAGGAGACGCTCAACGCCCTTAAGTATGCGAACCGAGCCAGGAACATCCAGAACAAGCCCGTGGTGAACCGTGACGAGGCGTCAGCAATGACGATGGAGCTGCGTCGCCAGGTGCAAATGCTTCAGATGGAAGTACATCGTCTGCGTAACCCCGGACTGTCGGAAAGCGAACTCAAGATGGCAACTGTGGGGACAGATCTCATTGGTATGTCCAGCGACTTTGACTCATTCGGCAACCTTCGAACGCGCGCTGAGAATGCTGAGAACGAGGTAGCTCGCTTGACAGCCGAACTGAAGCGCGGTAAGACGCAACTTGATCACCTGAAGGAAGAGATGATCGCAGCGCAAGCAGAACGGGACTATCTGAGACTATGTGTCGAAGAACAAGGGGACGGGAACTCGGTGTCGCCGGAGGAAAGAGAATCCAAGTCCAATGTCCTCAAAGATCAGCTGCGAACTATTTTCGAGCTGCAAGAAAAGCTTCGTGCAGCTGAACGTGAGCGCGACAACGTCGTGATGAACTTTCCTGGGTCCGTTAGCAGTAATACTGATACTAGTGGAACTCGATCATCTACTACAGTTCCTTTCGCTCTACCTTCGTTGGCTGAGGTGGATACTAAGATGGGGAACGAACTACTTGAAAGAGCAGAGAAGGAAATTGAGAGAGAAACGGCGCTGTTGAACAAGTTGAAGGAAGGAGAGAGTGGTGATGACGCTGGCGGTGACAGTGATGGAAGTGGAGGTGATGGTGAGGGCTCAGCTGATGGCATGGAGGTCGAAGAAGAGAATCAAGAAGAGGCCGATCGTATGCGTGTATTCCAGCGCCGTCAACGCCATCTCGGCGAGTCAGTACAGGACCTGGCACACGATATTTCTCTGAAGGAGCAGCTCGTGCAGAATATTCGTCAGGCTCAAGAAAACTACGATCGAATGAAGAGCTTTTACGAACAAAAGATGGCAGAAATGGTGGAAGAGGTGCGTGCTGCCCAGGAGGGTCGTGATCGCCTTGTTGACGAGATCCAGCAGATCGAGAAGAAGGCTGCTGCTGAAGGTGATACGTCGGGTGGGAATGGGCGTCTTGCTAAGTTATCGCGAGACCTCAAGGTAAAAGAGGACGAGCTCGACGCTCTGCGAAAGAAGCAAAACGACATGAACCGCTTCATGACTCAGAAGAAAAAGAACGAGATGCAACTGCGTGTACTGAACTCGGAGATCAGCAACATGAAGCGACAGAAGGTGGACCTGGTTAAAAAGATGCAAGAAGAGAGAAAACGCTACGAAGAGGAGGCCAAGCAACGTCGCCGTGAGATTATGAGCCTCAAGCGTAGCCAGCAGCGTGATAAGCAGCAAATTCTGCGACTAGGATCCCAGAAGGATGCCCAGGAACGGGTGCTTAAACGGAAGATGGAGGAGGTCACGGCGGCAAAGCAGCGCCTCAAACAACAGCAGCAACTGACAGCCCAGGCGAGGAAAATGAACGCTTCTTATGGTCGGAAAAAAAGCGCTGGGAATCGTGCTGATCGTGATGCCAAGTGGTTGTCAGAAGAAGTGAAGAAACGTGCAGAGGAGCAGCAAAAACTGGAGCAATTACAGAAGGAACGAGAGGCCGTGGCGAAGGAGATGGAAGCGCTTTATGCCCAGCGAGATAAGCTTGAGAAGGAGGTGAAGAACTCGATCTCGTCTCAGACGAACATCCGGGACGTGTTAACCTCGCCCATGGAGAGTTCTCCACTCCGACGCAACAGCGGGCGACAGCAACAGCTCAACCCTGCTGAAGAACAATTGTTGTATGACTTGGAAGAGCGCATTGAGGCTTGTCAAGCGCAACTGGAGTACAAAGAAGAGAAGATATCGGAAATCTCCGACGATGTACAGGCGGTCGATGAAGGCAACGCGCTTGCGAAAATCGAGAAGACGCAGTCTTTGCCCGAGGCTCGAACGCTTCTGAAGATGCTCTTCGGTATGGCAGTCGATGTGAAAAAGCAGGACCAGAGAAAGGAGCAGGAGCTTGCCAAGCAACAAGTGGAAATGGCGGAGCTTGTTCGTCACTTGGAGCAAGAGCGAGAGAAGACGATGCAAATCAAGCAAAGCTACGAAGAATCATTGCAGCGCGTGGTGAACAGTGGCGCCAGTCCGGACGGATCTTCGCCTGAATGTGACACGCTGGACGACCGTAGCCGCATCTTACTGTCGGTATCTGAAGAACGGAACTCAGCGTTAAGGAAGAAATGCGAGGAGCTCGAACTGATGTCTCGTACGACCGACCAAGAGAAGCAAATGATGAAAGATCGGCTTGAACAGGAACAGCAGGACCTTGCTGCTAGCAGAGAACGCGTCCGATACTTGGAAATCAAGTTGAAGAAGCTTAGCGCTGTGGCTGTAGGGGCTGCCGTGACACCAGGACGCACGCGGATTCCTGTTTCGTCGTCTTCAGGGAACAAGTTCGCAGCCATGCCGAGTCAATCGCAGACGGGGCCGGCATCCTGGGCGAACGAACTCGATGATGATGAAGATATGGGCACGGACGAACATGACGATGACCAGGACGGTTGTGAAGACGTTCCTATGCGAAGCGATGAAGACGATAACCGAAGTTCTCGCTCAGGACAGGACCGTCGCCGGTTTAAGATGGAGTTGGACATTGTTGGTGGCAACTCGGAGTTCGCGTCGATGGGGTCGCACAAGAGTCGGAGTTCTGTTCGACGTGGCAAGGACGACAACGATGAGGGATCGTACGATGCTACTAAGGAGGACTCGCCGCATGTGGGGAGCGATGATTCGTCTTCTGCTTCAAAGTCGATCTTCTCGCGACTGTCTAACCCAACCAACTTCACTGGAATCCACAAAAATCGCGTGAGAGAGAGTGCTTCCAAGCGTGAGATTCTGCAAAGCCGCTCGGAGCGGAACCGATCGAGACGATTGAAGGATAAGGGACAGCTCAAGCCGTCGCGGTCTTCTAGTACTCCCGCCGAGCAGTTTGTTGGCACCCCTGCAGGCTTCAAGAACCCACCTTCAATTAAGAGTAACTCGGTTTTGGAGGTGCTTGCCAACATGAGGCGAGAGAACGAGTCAGAGCAGTATGTGAGCTCTTCGGGCTTGCGGCAGCCCTTGTCGTACGTCACGACGGACCGTCCGCGAGACTACAGTAGCGACGACAATGAGCTGGCGGTTCCTAGCAACGATGGCTTCAATACGATGCCTCCTCCTGCCCCAGTAGGTGATGTATACTCGCGTCTTGCGGGTCAGTATACGGCCTCAGCCAAGAGTAAACGACACCAGGCTCGCCAGGAGAAGGTAGACGCTGAAGAATCAGGGAAGCAGGGAATTAAACCAGACGATGACGTGTACCTGGTTGACCAGCACGGAGGCGAAGATGCGAGCTACACTATGAGCGACGATGACTCGAACTATGATCCGCTTCTCGGCGAAAAGAACCTCCTCATCAAGCAAGTTCACGAAGACTATAGGGAGCGTCTAGCCCAGCGAAACGAGACTGGAAACTAGGCACTTGCAAAGTTAGGGGCGTGCTCCTTACCCATGACAAGTGAGGACGCACGTTCCCTGCGAGCTGTATGCCAATTGACGCAACATACTCGGTCAGTGCGTTTAGATGAACAGAAAAGATTGCCATCCGAACAAGAGATGGTTACAGTAACCACCCAGCGAGCAAGCAAATAAAGCGTGAATGATGCTCCGAAACATGCAAATTCCAACTTCATTAAATGCGGTAACTCATTCGCGGTTAGAGCACCAATATAAACGTGCAGTTAGCGAGCGAGAAGCTCACGCAATGTCCAGTATCTCTTGTTTGATGGAGAGATACTGCCGGTACGTGAGCTTGTGGATGGAGCTGCGGTAGCGCGTGACCTTGACGGTCTTCAGCATATCTTCAGAGACGCTGCGACGGTAGCCTGCCTTTCGCATGAGTGACGTGACCGTCTCGACATGGTTCCAGCCCTGTTCCCGCGCTACTTGCGGTAAATACGTGGCACTGAACTCGTTGCCGCGCGAGTCGTTGAAGTTGATAATGATCCCGTGCGTGCCAATCTGAATGCAGCAACCGGTTAGCCTTATGACCCAGTAGAAGCTTAAACAGTGTTGCAAAAGTGTCAACCTCCCAGTCGTCGTAGCTTTCGGCGCCCTTATAGTCGAGGAGCAGCGACACGGAACAGTGCAGGCGCTGCAGTTCCTGCGGTTCGATGGGGTCGAAGCGGTGGTCACGCAGCGCGCTCTTGAGCGTGAAGTCGCGCAGGTTGCGCAGCCGTGTGGGCGTCAGCGTGCCGATGCAGCCGCGCAGGTGAGTACCGCCGTATTCCTCGATCTCCCACGTCACGAAAAGCGGACTGGCACAAATAGAGCACAATGCTTTAGAAACTGAAAATATTTTACTTTGCATGCGTATGGCAAGGCAGTCGGAGGACGCACTATTCCTGATGCACATCGAAGCGTGGCGTGGGCTCGGCGCCCTGTTCAAAGTGCGACTGCAGCGTGTCGAAGCAGTACACGACCATCGCGGCGCTCGCCATCTTTGCTCGCTCCGGTCTATGGGTGCGTCCGAGAATACGAGGTCACTATTTATGGATCTGATAATTCCACTTTAGTGACAAACTTCAAGCTGGCTTTTTTGTGGTCGTAAGATGGCAGGCGACAGCCGAAAGGAGCGTCATCTTGAGGATAGGAAGAGTGCGTCCTTATCCTGCGCTGCAGCGAAGTGCTGGCTGCGTCGATCTTCCCAAACCGAATGCCTGGCAGGCTACGCCTTCAGCTTTCTCGTCGTCGCCACTTTCTCTTCGCGTGAAATATTTGAGCCACAGATTCGTCTGCGCCTAAATAAGAATTTTTCAGGCGCGATTTTTTTTGCGTGTATCTTTTTACGTTTACGGGCACCTCCTGGTCGATGGCATGGAGACCCTGACTCATTCCCTGCTATCGCAAAGCCTGCATGACGATCTCGATAAGAAGGGAGAGCATGAGCGAAATGCTGGAAAGGAAGTGAGCTGGGCAGCCAGTGTGAGTCAGGGGCCCAGGCGGTGGCCATGACCCAGCAGCTGGGCTGTGCGCCTCCGGCGTTTACGGGCAGCACGTACGGAGCATGTGGAAGAGCGATGCAATGACGGTCCCTGGAATACTTGCTCCGTATCGCCGCCAAAGATGTGTCCACGGACATCTGGCCTTGGTGAGTCACTTGACCTTGACGAAATGACCCCCTTCCCTCCTAAACGAGTCCCTCGTTGTGCTCCGTCGGACAACGATTGCTTGTCTGCACGAAAGAGGAATGAAAATGCGCGGTATTTACAGTGTCTTGGCGGGTGTATTTACATGAGGGAAGCCCTCCTTATAACTAACGAAACTAAAGCTATCGATCTGGTTTAGTCTTGCCGTGCTCCGTGGCGGATGCACACGCCTCGGCGTACGGCGCCCTTGTTGCAGCCTGCTTCTCTGCAGCGGCGACCACCGCCGTGCGAGACGCACAAATGACCACCGACGGCGCTTTTAGAGCACCCGAGGACTTCGCATCTTCGGCCACCACCGTGTGCGATGCACAGACCGCCCTTGAGAGCCGTCTTGGAGCAATTGGCTGCGCTGCAGCGTTTTCCGCCGCCATGGGCGGAGCAGAGCCCACCGGCCAGCGCCGACTTGGAGCATCCTTCCTCACGACACCGCTTACCACCTCCGTGGGCGATACAGTAGCCTCCCTCCTTGGCGCTCTTGACGCAGCCGTCTTGGCGGCATCGACGACCACCGCCGTGTGAAATACAGAAGCCACCGGTTTTGGCGCACTTCCGGCATTCAGGTACTTTGCAAAGTCGACTAGGCTTGTGGAACTCACAGAAGGCGCCAAAGAGGCTGTTGGCTGTGCGGTAACAGTTCTTCTTGGAGCAGATTACGCCTGCCTGCGGGAGGCTGAAAGCTTGCTGTGTGTCGACCACCGGATCCGGGTTCGTGATGAAACTCAGGCTCATGCGCTCGCGCAATACGGGTGTGGAGACTGTGGAGCTCTCGCTGGGTGTTGTGGAGGCCACACTGGTGGTGTCCGACTCACTCTTAGGGAAGGGCAGCGAGAGTTTCTTAGGCTCGAAAACCGGTGGGTGGCACAGCTCCAGTGGGAACTGTGCGCGGTGGTGCATGACCCCGCGAAGCAGCGAGTCCGTGAGCTGGAACATGTTAACTGCGAGGTAGTAGAAGAGAGTACAGAGCGGAGTTGCGCCTGTGGCCACGACGGCGAGTTCGATTGTGACCTTGGAGAAAATCAGAGCACAGTAGCGGTGAAGGATGGACGGGACCCATTCAGATCTCAAAGCTAAAGCACCAGGTTGCGCCACCATCTGCGCGTTGACGGTCATGAGCGAACGAACCGGCTGGGACCCGCTTGACTCATTCACACACACGGTAGTGATGCCTGATGCTTTTAGAAAGGCCTCAGTGCCCTGTCTGGGCGATGGCAAGCACCTGTCGACATTGCAAGCAAGGCAGTGCTGACTGTAACGCGTCAGCATGTGGCGGATGCAAGCTGTAGATGAACAAGTGCAGCAGCATAGAAATCAGCAACGAGAAAATAATGCACTACGTGCAACTCGCAAGGCAAGAGGCCTAATGTCGGGACAATTGGTGCCCGTTATGGCCATTTATTCCAGCAACGGACCAAAAGCCTGGTGATAGTTGCTGTCGTGGTGCTTCGATTCGAGAGATTTCCCCGCGAAAGACTTCGGAGTTGAACTTGACATCTCTTGATTCCGTTCCCGCCTGTACCATGGAGCTTGTTTCTTTGCTGCGTAGGATTTGCAGCGTACATATCATGCGGTACCATCCACCTGCATAATGGTCCATTGTGCAGGTGCCGAAAGCACTTCCGCCCGGCGTGCGCTCTATGGCAAACAGGAAGACTAGGAGCTCCACCTCCACCTCTCATTATCCAGCACCAAACCAACTTAGTCACCGAGGTTTCAGCAAAAATTTACTTGATACAGCGATACTCGCAAAATAAATGGTACTGGTACCCTTTGTTGACTCATAGAGCTAACAGATGGATCATGCAACGCGTAACTTACGAATCGTCATCTCGAATGGGAGCATGAGGCGGTGCTTGCAGTCTGCAAGTTGCAGAGACTTGTCGGCTAGACTCACGCACTGCCACGAGAAAGAAAGTGTCGCCAGAGCCGGTCGCCGTTCGAGTTCCAGCGCCGGTCTCGGCTGGAGCACGCGCACGTAGCGGACATCCGGACTGTCAAGCAGACGAGCAGGAAGCCGCTGCTCATCGGCGCTGTCGATTGCTGGTGGCAGCTTGTCTCCAAGCATTCTCAACCACTGCAGGATGCTGAATGCATTCGCGCTGCCTTATCGTGCGTTGAACCGACGTCGTCGTCGTTGCAGTTCGGCGATGACTTCGGCCCAAACTTTCAAGTCGAGCACGTCTGGTCTGCTCGTGAAAGTATCAGCCAGCGTGCCACTGCAACGCGAATGAGCGAGATGACGACCTCGTGCCGGTCTTGGTCACCGCGGGTGAGCATGTGCTGCCGCAGTATGGAGAATCGCTGCCGCGCTAGCAGTTGGTGCCCGAAAACAACTTCATGTGGCATTCCGCTGATCGTCACGCGGAAACGCACCGAGGCCAGCCGTAGGTTCCATTCGGTGGAGACCTTTTTCGAGTGCGAGCAAGCACCCCGAGCAGGCAGAGCTGTCACGCGCTTCGGTTCGGATCAATGCAGACTATATTCCGATGACGAAATGTAGTGCGTTGAGAACGTTGTCTTCATGTGCGCTGAGTGCACTGTATTTTTACTGATAGCAGTGTCGACTGCTCTGCGCCATCGCCTATCGCTCCGGTAAGAATGCTTGCTTCTCGACCCAAGGTTCACCACCCCGGTAAGAATGCTGGCCTCTCGACCCAAGAACACGACCATGCCATCTGAACGACAACGCTACGTTACCGCGTTTTCATCTGGTCTACATACAGAAGACAAGATTAAATTCTCGATTACAACGACGCGCAAAAATGGACTCGCTACATTCACGTTGATGTTCGGGCACAACGTTGGTCATTTGTAATGTAGCATCTTATGTAGTGTCGCCGTCTCTTGTGCTAAAGTGACGGCGAGCATGAAGGCTCCGCAAAGGATTTCTAGATGAATGGTGTCTTAATCCTATCAGTGACCCCCGACAGCTCGAAGCTCTTGGTGGTCAATTTTCGCAACAAGAAATAAATCGAGTGAGTACTTGCATGCCGCCGTTCTACATGAGTAACGCTCGCTTCCAGAGCGTGTACGCTAACCAAGAATTGTGGTCCTGAAAGCAGAAGTGGTGGGAAGAACGCAGTCCAGACTACCTGGACCAAAAGCTGTGGTGAATGCCTCAACGCCGACAAAGGCAGCACTAATGCTTGCCAGATCGAAGATGACACTGGTTCGACTTAGCTGTCCCAACGTGCCACTCGAAGGTTGGCATGCTGTTGGCTGACTGAAATCTGCTAGCTCCGTCGAACAGATATTTGTCTCTCCGTCAGACCTTTGGCGGAGAATCTCCACTGGAGATCTTTACAAGTGACCGTTCAAACGACGGGATCATGGTGGCCGCTCATTTCTGTGAAAGATTGCAATGCGTCTGTTGGTCTCTTGTAAGTATTGGATCTTAGGATTCTCTTGTCTTGCATCGCGACCGTCGAGTCGAGGCCGCCATCGCCGTACAATTGCTATGTGCGGTTCTTAAACGCCGGGAAGAGTCTCTTGTGAGTCTTTTTACCTTTCAAGATCGCAATAGTGACCTCAAGATGTTTGGATCTCAACGACTGCAAAGGCTTTCACTCAGTTGTGAATTTACCTGCAAGCTGCCACCCCGTCAAGTGTTCGTGTGTGTATAGTGAGCAGTCATGTCGTTGCTCTCCCACGGGAGCGACACCAAGGTCGAGAAAGGTGATCCAGGTATCCCAGTACCTTCTCGACCAACTAGCAAGAAATGGAGGAAAATCATACTAGCAACGGCGGGTACGGCACTTTGTGTCGGTAGTGCCTTCGCCATGTACCAAGGATGGAGCAATTACTCGGAGAACGCTCGGATTGCTGCGGAACGAGCTTCCAGGCCGAACGGCATGTTCCTCGAGAGCCAATACGCGTCGGATGTTAGGCATGATCCGAGACTCCTGAGTAGTGGCGAAGAGATCATGCTCCGAGTCCGAGGTAAGGCCAACCTCTGTATCGATGACGGAGGAGGCTGGACGGCTGCGTCTTCCAAGTTTACCAACAAACCGTGCAACCCAAGCAGCCCCAACCAGATTTTCAAGTACAACCCCGGTACGAAGGAGTTCGCCAGTGTGTACAAGACCGGCTTGTGCATCGACGATGGCGGTTCATGGAACGCTGCAGGTACCAAGGCGCACTTGTGGTACTGTGACCCTAACAACCAGAACCAGTGGTTCGTCTTGGACCCCCTTACTATGATGTTGAGGAACCCGGTCAAGATCAATCTGTGCTTCGACGACGGAGGTGGCATCACTGCCGATTCGACCAAGTATGTCATGTGGTACTGCGACAACAACAATCCAAACCAGCACTTTGAAGTGATTTCTCGTGCTGCTATGGCCGCGGAGAAAAAGCAAAAGGTTGGAACGACCATGTACGACCTCATGGTCTCCGGTAAGGAGATCATGTTCCGTGTTCGCGGTAAGAACATGTGCGTCGACGACGGAGGAGCCTGGTTTGCCGCTACGACCAAGTTCGTCGACATGCCGTGCAATCCGAACAGTCCAAATCAAGCGTTCAAGTACAATATCAAGACTGGAGAGTTCGAGAGTGCCTCCAAGCCCGGACTGTGTATCGATGATGGAGGGTCATGGAGTGCTGCTGGTACCAAGGCACATTTATGGTACTGCGATATCAACAACCAGAACCAGTGGTTCGACATGGACGAATCCACGTTGATGCTGAAGAACCCGCTCAAAGACAATCTTTGTCTTGACGATGGGGGAGGCCAGACAGCGGGGGCGACGAGGTTTGTCATGTGGTATTGTGACAATAACAATCCGAACCAGCACTTTGAGGTCGTGTTGCGTGAAACTTTACTCGAGGAGAAGCAAAAGACTGGACGTACTCCGTACGACCTTCTGTTGGCCGAAGAAGAGATCATGTTCCGCGTCAAGGGCAAGAATAATCTGTGTATTGATGATGGCGGTGGCTGGGGTGCTGCAATGACCAAATTTGTGGACATGCCGTGCAATCCGGACAGTCCGAACCAGGTCTTTAAGTACAGTGTGAGGAACCTCGAGTTCGAGAATGTCAACAAACCTGGTTTTTGTATTGACGACGGAGGATCCTGGGATGCTGGTGGCACTACTGCGCATTTGTGGTACTGCGACGAGAACAACCAGAACCAGTGGTTTGTACTGGACGAATCTACTTTAATGCTGCGTAACCCGATGAAAGAGTATCTTTGCTTCGATGACGGAGGTGGTACAACTCCTGCTGCCACTAAGTTCATAATGGGACGTTGCGATGTTAGCAGTGCGAACCAGCGCTTCGAGATCTTGTCCCGTTCACAGATGCTCGAAGAGAAGAGGAAGAAGTTCGGCATAACTCCATACGATATCCTCGCGTCTGGACAAGACATCATGCTCCGTGTTCGTGGCAAGAAAAACTTGTGTGTTGACGACGGTGGAGGTTGGGGAGCTGCACAGACCAAATTTGCTAACCAGCCTTGTGATCCTGATAGTCCGAATCAAGTGTTCAGATACAACATCGGTACTCTCGGGTTCGAGAACGTCAACAAGCCTGGATTCTGTATTGACGATGGTGGATCATGGGATCCCGCAGGAACTACAGCACATTTATGGTACTGTGATGCGAACAACCAGAACCAATGGTTTGTACTGGATGAAGAGACTTTGATGCTGCACAATCCGGTAAAGTGGAACTTGTGCTTCGACGATGGAGGTGGTACGACGGCGGGTGCCTCGAAATTCATCATGTGGCATTGCAACAACGAAAGTCCAAACCAGCACTTCGAAATAATCCCTCGCGCTGCTATGGCTGAGGAAATCAGGAAGAAGAGGATTGCTGCTGGTATGGACGATGAATTAGACCTGCTCAACTCCGGTCAGAAGATCATGCTTCGTGTCCGTGGCAAGGACAATCTCTGTGTGGACGATGGTGGTGGTCGCTGGAATGGCGCGACGAAGTTCAACGATCAACCGTGCGATGCGAGTAGTCTACACCAGGTCTTCACGTACGACGCCAAGACGCGCCAGTTCAGAAGTGTCAACAAACCGGGTCTCTGTATCGACGACGGTGGTGCGTGGAATGCTGCCGGATCACAAGCTCATCTGTGGGATTGCGACCAAAACAACCAGAATCAATGGTTTGTGTATGATGAAGACACTATGATGCTTCGGAATCCGGTCAAGGGCACTTTGTGTTTCGATGACGGAGGCGGTATGAAACCTGGTGAGACCAAGTATATCTTGTGGTTCTGTGACGATAACAATCCAAACCAGCACTTCGAGATCCTATCACACGCTAAAATGTCAGAGGAGAGGAAGCAAAGATTGATCGCCGCTGGACTTGACGACGAAATCGGTCTGCTTAGCTCCGCCCAACCGGTCATGCTACGTGTTCGTGATAAGAACAACCTGTGCGTTGACGACGGAGGTGGTCGATGGAATGGTGCCACAAAGTTCGTAAACCAGAAATGCAACCCAAGAAGCGAGAACCAGCTTTTCACCTACGACATCAACACCCGCCAGTTCAGAAGCGTCAATAAACCGGGTTTGTGCATGGACGACGGTGGAGGCTGGAATGCAGGAGAAACCCAAGCTCACTTGTGGGACTGTGATCCGAACAACCAGAATCAGTGGTTTGTGTGGGATGAAAACTCCATGACGCTCCGTAATCCAGCAAAGAGGAACTTGTGCTTCGATGACGGCGGTGGTATGGCAGCGGGTGCTACTAGATACATGCTATTGCCTTGTGATAGTAACAGTCCCAACCAACACTTGGAAGTCGTCTCTCCTGAACGAATCATGGAGGAGAAGAAGAAGATGCAGATTGCGGCAGGGACCACTGCGCTTGACATTCTCGCCACTGGACAGGAGATCATGCTTCGTGTTCGTGGTAAGGCCAACCTGTGCGTGGACGACGGAGGGGGCCACTTGAATGGCGAGACTAAGTTCGTTGAC